CTTAAATCCGATAGTTGGTCTGGCAGCGGCGATATACGACAATCCCAACATATTATATACCGCCGAAAACCACACTGCCCTGGAACCAAAGCCACAAATCACTGAATGCGCTCTGTATTTCTGCGCCCAGAGATACACAAACAATAGTTATACCTCTGATCACCAATCACTCGAAGCATCTGAGACGGAGCAGCTCTTTACGAAAAACAAATACTTCCAAATGTTCTACCCCAACGAGCTGGCTCCACTGAACAGCTCAACCCCAAGTTTCGCAACCAATGGTAACTACACCATCGCAGGAAATACTGTGCTACAGATCCTCAACTCTTTCACATCTACCATATCCCTCTCAGACCAAATCGAAGCTGGGTGGACGTATTCCGTGCAGGAGGGGAAAGACGCCAGCCCCGTTATGAAGAACGTTGCCGTCGGCATTACAAAGGGAATTCGTGCCGGGCCGAATAGCACCACAATTACCGGGGAGGCATTAACCACGCAGACGTATATATCTGTGCGCTGGTATTGGGCTGCGGCTCCGATCGTGATCACGATCTTGTCGATCTTGTTCTTGATATTGATTGTCGCTCATACTGCGAGGGCTAAAGGAGTGGGGATGTGGAAGTCATCAGCGCTGGCGCTGTTAGCTTGTCGGGTGGCGCAGGGACCTGAGCATCCGGACCTGCAGACACTTAAGGAAGCTGAGATGGAAAATGTCTCAAAGAGTATGCTGGTATCATGGGACAGGGAGGGGGAGCCGTTGACTTTAAGGGTTGATGGAATGAAGAAGAGATAATGTTTACATATAGTCATAGTAATCATGATTGGGTTGGCTTAGTACCTCACATCTCATATAGTAATCAAGATATCTTATATATAAAGATTCTGACCGTGCAAGTTTCCTGACTTATTGATCAGTTATTTGGTCTGATTTGATTATTATTCGTTGCTAATAGAATATATGTTAATATTATGAATCCACGGTAAATAATTAGCAAAGTTTGATAAAAAGATTTGAAATATCAAATATACATTTAGAATTAGCTATTGCATTTATTCAAGTTCAATTTAGGAGTAGTGAGAAAAGAGAAAACGACATGTGTTGAAGTACAGCCCATCAGGCATGTGATCAGGATATACACATACCTAGCACACTACTCGTTACTAGTTTAATCGATAATATTACAGAGATTTACTTCCGAAACAGTCTACATGACTGTACGTTATTGCACGATTCATAATCCAAGAATCTGATTCCTAGGCATTATAACAATTTAGTAACCAGCCTAAAAACCAAAACCACTCAGAAGCACACAAGCAAGCCACACATTCCCCCCCAAATCATCCCCATTCATACCATCAGAAACCAAGGTCGTGTCTCACACGACGATCAATAGTGCTCCTCAACACGCTAGACCCGACTGCAATATCCACACGATCGTCAATGCCAGTCCCCGGTCCCTTCCAAACAAAGCTCACAGCATTTTGAGCATCCCTCACTTCCTGTTCTGGAATGTTCTGATTTCGCCCAAGTTCCTCAATAAGCATCTTGAACCAATGCCTGTTCTGCTGATAAAAACGATCACTGGCATAGTTACATCTATCAAGGTCATTAGCAACGATCAGATCACAAAGACCCCCGACAGTATATTCGACTTCATGGAGGCGCACGCGCTTCACGATATTGTCTTCGTCGGCATAAGCGGGGCCATGGGGCTCGTCAGTGATTGTGATATGCATGCGGCAGGGAATGCTGTTTCGGAGGGGCGAGAGGTCAAGGATGAGACTCATAGCGCCAGTGTTGGTGTCGGGGTCATTTTTGGTTTGGATCTTGAGTATCCAGATGTTGGTGAGGAGCTGGATGTCGGTGCCGCCAATGTATTCTTGCGTTCCTTCGGGTTTAGTTCCGCATAGCTCTAGGTACTCGATTTTGAGGTGGCTGGTCGAGTTCAGGAGGGCGCTGGGGACAAAACTGATTTCGGGCACAAGGAGAGACATGGTGATGGGTGTATGTCTTGGGTGTTGCTGGAATGGTGGAGTAGTGAGAGGATGGTTTGACTATAGTCGTTGAGAAAGATGAGAGTGAACGATCTGTTCTAATTCCCAAAGTGCTGGGTAAGGAAGAGCTTCTTATATCTTATGGTATCGTCTTCTGATATGTTATGTAGGTAGCACTTGTTTGGCAGTATATCAATTTGATGTGGCAGTTTCCGCAACATTCGTCTAACTACAGTCAGGTAAACCTGAATTACGCCTGGAAATTTCCTGTCGGATAGTGGATTATGTCTGAGAGATTGCCTGGTTTGCAAAGCCTTAGCATTAGGAAAGTGCCAACTTGAGTTAAATATTCATACTTTTAGAGGTAGGTCATACTGGGTGACCTCTGTTTTTTTTCGGCTATCTGCTACAGACTGAGAAAGGTGCCCCAATGACGGGAATTTACTCACGAAGAATTTTTAAACTCGTCAATGGAAGTCTGACCGTTTTCTCAAATGTCCTGGAACTTCATAGTAGAGATAATAGCGGAGAAAAGATCATATTTGGATTGTTCCGGCTATCAGTCCCAAACCATTGTTCATGGTCAGCTTACTGAGGGTTATTGATGAAGTTCCTCAGAGACCCAAGGTATTAAATTCAGTTCTGTAGGTATTCCCCATGTCATACATCGTGCCATTTTTCTTTAACCCTGTGGCTGTCGCGAGAAGGGTGTAGTAAATGCCGACTGACGTAGAATGGAGCATTTCATGGGTATAAGCTGAACGTTGAGGCAGGTGCTTATTCATTGGGGTTACCAAGACCTATTATCATGCATGTTGGCTGCTTAGTGGCAATGGGGTGATCTACTGTTGGAAGGCCAGATGTTGAGTCGAGTGGAAAGCGGTAGATGTATATGATCCAGGAGTTTCCGGAGATTACAACGATAAAAACGGTAGGTATAGTTCATGAGCTCAACTGTGAACAAAAAGAAAAAGAACTCTACACGAATCATATACTGGAGTGTACTATTTGGATCCGGCTATCGCCTGGCTTTGACTCCACGCCGGCTTCTCAGCTAAATGATCGCTTCTACTCATTTGACTTCCGTGGGATGCATGCGAAACGTGATGCAGATCTCTATTCTCCCCTGGTATGGCATTGATACTTTATCATCACCGGTAGAGATAAAAACTACAAAAACATACAACAGAAGGGATTCGCTGGTGGTCACCCACCCAACTACTAACCTCCCGGCGTGTGGCTTGAGTACGGCTGAGCGGACGGGAAGCCCTATTTTCCACACCCTATGGTCGTATGTGCTTGTCAGTAATTAGAGCTGGCTTATATGCTTAGACTGAGCTTGATGACCTTGAAGCTCTATTAGAATATGTAGGATTACGAAAAGGGTTTCCAGCTCCAAGCACACCTCCGTTCCAAACTCCCGATGGTGCTCTGGGGACAATGTTTCTGAGCCATGGAACTGATCTCCGACCGGAACCAGTGAACAGTCGGGCATGGTGCTTAGAGGAACGAGTTCTGTCACACGGTCTCTAGTCTATTGCTCCCACACACTGCAGTACGAATGTCAGACCGAGCACATTAATATTGACCGTACCGCAGACCCGCAAGGCGTTAGAGATGATATTGTCCAACTACCGTCTTGGGTCTTCCACGATCGTTCCCTTTTTAGTTCTTTCATGGTCCCTGGCATCGAAGATGCAGAGCGCACACTAGACAGCACATGGAGGAAGATTATTAGCTGCTATACACAACCAACACTTACAAAACCGGGAGATCGCCTAATCGCAGTGTCTGGACTAGTACAAAAGCTCCGTCAACATTGGCCAAAGAGATAAGAAGGAAATCCCATCTATCATGCCGGACTCTGGTCTCACCACCTCCCAGGATGCCTCAAGTGGACAGTTTCACGGCGCAAGTTTCCACGGCCCGCTACTTATCGGTCACCCTCTTGGAGTTGGGACGCAATCGATGGCGAACTTAAGTACGCTACCAGAGGTAATTCCAACATGATCTGCAAGGCCCACTATTGTCGAACATTTCTCGCACGAGAAGGGCACCCGTATAGTAAAGTCATTGGTGGGATGGCTCAGGATACTACTCTTTTGCTAGATAGTGTCGAAACACTAATCGCTATAATAAATACAATATATCGCTTTTAGATAGTATAGCGGTTTGTCAGGGCTTCGTCTCTAGAAGGACACCTAGGGACCGGCCCTGATTCTGATGTGGAATATTTAGACTTTGATCTTGTTTTTGGCTGCATAAGGTGAACTTATACAAAAGTAGTAGTGGGGAACTTCGGTATGATGTGTCGTAAGATTAATGGTCGATTATTAGAAAGGAAACAGGGCAAAGGGGGTGGTAGATGAATATATATTTGGCGCTGTGCACTGTCGGCGCATTCGCGGGTGGGTGTCAAAACTACGCTCCTTGTAGGCTCAAGGCAATCTCACACCTGATTAAGGCAGGACGGAAGAAAATATATTTCCTAACATACATATATTAGCTACCAAGAACGCAAAAAGTGAATAAAGACATACAACAGAATTACTATGACTGTGCTTATGCAAGACTCATAAATATCTTTTTCACTAATCCTTCAGGGCCTCCTTCAGGGACCTGAATATTCTTTATTTAAAGAAAGATCTAAAAGATATACTTTAATATTTACAAACGATGACCAGATAATGGTATTCGAGATATCGCAGATGGCAACATTATACTGGAATGACTAATAGTATGATCTGCCCGTAGTGGGAATGTAATTGCTTGTGTCTACTTTTGATCCAGAGGGCACAGCAGTGGAGTTTGTCTAGTCAGGTGCTTGAGATCATTAATTGCAAGCCGCACGTTATAAGCATATTCCACGATCACCGACAAGCGAGCATAGCTTCCTTACCGTACCCTTGGAGCTGGGAGGAGGCAGCAAATAGAAAATGTTTGCCGGTCGTTGCAGATAGAATAGATAGATGTAACCTCCCGACACGTCTAACGACGGAGAGAATCTAACTGATTTTCTCCCTTGGCCACTGGATCAAAGGTCTATGCTTTTCATCAAGATGATGGTAGATTCCGGCCATGATATGCTCCGGCCATCCCTCCATAAACCAATAGCAAGATATGTCTTTCAGTAAGACGACGAAAAATGCGAACAATACCAGCGAGAGTGGCCGCTGCTCATGTAGATCGGCGACGAAAAGCCCTGGAAGCCGAAAAAGCCAGCCAAAAATGTACGGGAAGCGTGCTCCCCTTGGCAAATGGTGTTTTGGGCTTCTTAATGAATGAAAAACCGAGACCAGGTCTTCATGGACTTTACAATATGTCGAATGCCTCGGATCAGATTGTTCAAGCTCATTAAGCAATAACTGGCGAATCTGACCCAGCGGAGCGACATTTTCTTCAGAAAACGGTGATACTTGTGCTTCATGATGAGCTGTTGTAGATTCTGCACTATGGTGGTGTCTTGGACCGGCTCCCGCGTGCGTTGACATCCGCTCTGTCATCTGGAGAATCGACCGAACACCGTGCAGGAGCGTCAAACACTGCGCTTGGCCAGTACTGCTGAACGCCAGGTAGTCACCGGGCTGTGGGCCTCTAGCTAGCGTGCAGAAGCACATGAATGACGACGCCGCATACAGTGCATGGTAGGTGTTAGGATTCAATTCGGTCACAGATGGTATGAGTTGACGAAGGGAAATAGCGAAATGCTGCTCAGCTCGTTCCACGTAGGGCTTAGTGGCACGAGAGATCTGCTGAGGACAGCGCTCCCGTAAGTGTGCGATGTGAAACCCACTGAAGGCCAATAGAAGACGCAGCACGTAATTGAAAGAGTAACCCAGCTCTGGAAGCCTTGTCTGCAAGAGTTGCCGACCTGCTTCGTCCTCAGCCAGGGTCAGGGACGTGGATGACAGGTAGTTGTGAAATAGCTCCATATCCAGCGCAGAAAATTCAAACGGGTAGTTAGTCAAGGCCGATGAAATCCCCTCTCCCAAGACTGCGTACGGAGGACGCAACTTATATCGTCGACTATGTTTCCTTTTTGGTATTTGGAAGTCGAATAGGAATGAGGAGATGTATGTATGCCCGTCATCCTGCGCCGACTGTCGCCGATTGCCCTCCGGTAGGTTTGACGATGGCGAGCCCCTATTAACCAGTTCACCAACTGCATAATCGCAGTCCATAGCGTGTCGCGTGCACTGTCCGCACATAGGTCTGCTTTCGTCGCACTAAACTAGTCGTCAGACGACATCCTATGACCTCAGCGCCACATTTCCAGAACTTGCCTTGACCCTTCGCTGTTTGCAATTACCACACCCCAAACGCGACTTACGGTGGGATTTGCGGGAACGAGCGCTGACATACCCGTTTGGTACAGGAATCATCTCGTTATGTGTTCGACTACAGACAGGCGAGCTACCCTGGTCTAACCCTATATATGCAAGAGGCGCTGGGGATTGGAAGGGACAAGAGTGTGGCTGCAGCCTCCCTTGAAGTGATTTGAGCCGAGGGAAGAGGGATTACTAGATTACTAAGAAGAGAAGAGGGCCAATTACCAGGGGGCGAACGCACTATTCCGAAAGTGGGCTCCAGGGCAAGCGGTTGACGCACCGAAGAATCTCCGACCCAGATTTTAACAAAGGGCCCGAGAACCAAACTATTGATCTGCTGCTGTACAGCCCGGAAATACCTGTAAGTCCCGCAAAATCAAAAGCACTACCATTCAGCATGACCTAAATGACCGTTGCCTACACAGCTGAAAAAGGGTTATCAGACGCAAAGTCGAACTGTCTGTTCAACGCAAGCATTCCATTGCAGACGTGTCACAGAGAGTGATAAGTGGAGTATTGAGAATCACTGCCCAGGCAATATAAACGAACAACTGTTTCATATGCCTTGAAGGTCTTATTCAACTTAGTTGTCCCTGGATTAGAACAGTCAAAAAGCGGAGGACGCCATTTTTTTTCTATCATATGGCTGAACATGTAGCCGTCCATAGGGAGGGGGCATTTGGCCTCTAAGAGACTATTTGCACTACATTAGAGATGTTGAAGTGACGAATAGAAATTGGGCTGAAGGAATAGATCAACCCAATTACATGAAGACAGAGCAGCTGGTGAATGTGGAAATATAGACTATTTTAGTACCCTAAGTATATTGCTTTGCATCAAGAGACTCCCCGGAGCTATTCCATATGAGGAAATCCGTATTCGTAGCAGCGATAAGCTTTCTCTTGGTGGAGCCAAAGTATATTTTCCCTGCTTTCTAACGCCCGACTCCTAACATTGAACGACCGGCCCACTTTCGGTCGGCTCCCGTTCGGTATTCACTTTTAAGAGCACTTTGACTCCTGTCCTCGGTCATAGACCCCCTACGGGATCAGTCCATCTCGAACCAGAGACTTTGTCTAATTTTGCATGGTGCCAAGACAGAGAAAGGGGCAATAGCTGATATTCAAAAACCACTTTTGGTAATTCGCTTTCGCATCCATAAATGCACCAATACTGTTTTCCGTGGATCCCTACCTGCCCTGCTCGCCGTAGTGTCCGCCACGCCGGCAGAAAAGATTACGGCATGCATAGCAACGAGTATATAATCTGGAAAGATGTCTTCTACTCAGAAGACTATGACTACCGTCAGTTAATATCCTATTTTATAATTGCCTACGATGGTATTTCTTTGGTTGACGGTTATTCTTGGAGCGGTTTCCCGCGTCGCCGAAGCGGCTTCTCTGCCAATCGTTGACCTAGGGTATGAGTTACACCAGGCAAGCTCATTCTCCGTAAGTATTATTCCTGAATACGTTTGTTGCGTCGTTCAAAGCACGATATACTAACCCGGTCTCTAGAATGAGCACGGTTGGTACAACTTCAGCAACATTCGATATGCTGCCCCACCTTTGGGTCAACTTCGCTTTCAGCCTCCCGTACCACCCTTGACAAATCGATCCAAAATTCAGACCGGAGATGTAGGGAGAGTGTGCCCCCAGGCAGACATGCCCCAGTGGGCTACTACTGCTTCTGACTTTATTGTAGAGACCTTGTTTGGATCTACACTCAATACTAGCGGCTCAGAGTTCTCCGTTATCGATGGGGCGGGAGTTCACGACGGCCGAATCTCTGAAGACTGTTTGTTTCTAGACGTCATTGTCCCCAAGAAGGTATATGAAAGAAGGAGTCAGAACCTTACGGAAAAAAGCTTGGCTCCGGTACTCGTCAGCATCTACGGTGGCGGATATGTGATGGGACACAAGAACACCATTGATCCTTCTGGGCTTATGAAACGTGGTATGCAAGCTGACGATGGGTTTATTTGGGTTTCCTTCAATTATCGCGTAAGTTTGGGCCGCCAGCTAAATAATTTATGGCTCACTTATTCGTGCGGCAGGTCGGGGCATTTGGATGGCTTGCCAGTGACGCTACCACAGAACATGGAGTTGCCAATGCTGGCTTGCATGACCAACGCCTCGCTCTTGAATGGGTGCAAAACAATATTCATCTCTTCGGTGGTGATGCAAATCAGGTCACTGTTATTGGACAGTCTGCTGGAGGCGGATCTATTGTCCATCAGATAGTTGCGTACGGGGGCGACGTGCCAGCGACCTTCCATAGAGCGATCGTTCAGAGCCCCGGGCTGTCTTTTACCACAGAGGAACAGCAAAATGAGATTGCGAATCAATTCTTGCGGATTCTGAATGTCACCTCTATCGAAGAAGCGCGCCAACTGCCTACCGAGAGCCTCATTGCTGCCAATTCGTATCAGATCACAAATCTTTCTACCTATGGTTCTTTTTCCTATGGCCCTGTGGTTGATGGTAGATTTGCACCAGACGTTCCAGTGCACCTTCTCACATGGGGCAGGTTCAACCACAATGTTTCATTAATCGTGGGTCATAATGCGGACGAAGGGTTGTTCATTACATCTCCCGAAACAAGGAATAGCAGCGTTCTGACTACGCTTGTCGGCGAGGCCTTTCCGAACTTCGGCCCCAATCTTACCGACTATATCGTCAATGACCTCTATCCCCCAGTTTACAACGGATCTTACGACTATAAAAGCCCGGTGTGGAGAGCAGACTTGCTGTTTTCCGAGGCATATTTCACATGCAGCACCAACGCCCTCAGCAGAGCCCTACCCAATCAGACTTATCCTTATATGTTCAGCGTCTTTCCGGCGCTCCATAGTATGGATTCTTCTTATGTTTGGTATGATGGGTCCAGCTCAGCAGTTGGAAACGCAACCATTGCATACATAATGCAGGATTATACTATCAGTTTCGTTAAAGGTGGAATTCCTTCTTCTACCATTGGACCCCTCTTCCAACCTTGGAGTGTGAGAGGTTCCGTGCTGAATGTTGACACATCCGGTGTCGCAGAGATGAAGGATCCAACTGAAAACGAGCGCTGCCGTTTCTGGCAGCGTGCCCCATACTAGAGTCATCAGAAGGGCGAGTTTTCCACTCTTGCTTCCCAAGGGAGTCTACATGTTTTCCCTTCCAATTTATTATCATTTGTGTGGAGAGTTCAATACCTCGTTTATGGTCAAAGAATTTGTACGCATTCATGTGTGTCCCTACCTTAATTACCGAGTCTCCAGATACAAATATATTGGTCGGTTGATGATCGGGATACCGTAAAACCGGTTGATGAAGGCCTGCTTTTTTAGAGACAATACTAGGTCCTATATAGAGATATTACTTAAGGCTTGTAATATTTACATTATAGCTTATAATCCAAGTTCCTCTCTGAAGACACTGAAAAAATTGAATAGGCTTCCCAAATTTGAAAAGATACATAATTTTCCTTTTTAGCAGCCGCAGTAATAGCTAATAGAAAGTCTAGATCTGTAAAAAGTTCACTATCAATCTTATCTTAATTCTGAATATTTATAACCGCAAAATGCACATGGTCCATGATCTACTAATAGATTAACTCTTATCCCATTTTATAGTCTAAAAGATGTGTGAGGGCCAATACAGAATAACTCTTGATTCGTTAGCAATAATTCCAAAATTATAATCTTATTTATACTTGGAAGAACAGAGAAATAATAAAAGTTTCCACTTACTGGAAACTATAGTGTAAAAAACCATGATTCAAGCTCCACTATCTTAATAAAGAGATTTATTCTCTGTTTATCAGATAAATTAAACTATATATCACCCAGGTTCTGCCCCTTGATAAATTTAATAAAAATATACTCTGTACCTGCAGGGTGTCAGTATTAGCGGAGTAGCCGTAGACCTCCAGAACGGGTATGCCATGCGAACAGAGATAATTCATTTTTAGTAATCAATTGTAACTAGTAAATTGTTCTATTTGTCCGGAATGCTCTTTCAATCAAGCCGATCTCCGCGACTTCCGGGTCGGTTCCTCCGATTCGAAGAGAACATGACACAGCATGATCTACCACGGTCATGTTGAAAACGTGGTTCGCCTTAAAGAGCTATTTCTCTCCAAACCGGTCGGAGCATAGTGTTTTGGAGGGGGAGGGTGTTTAGGTCTGCGAAAGTCTATTAACAGGTTCGTTGCGTGGTAGTTCGGAAATATTCCTACAATATTATCTTAGAACATGATTGAAGATAACTCCCCGATTGTCTCTACAATCCTGCAAACCTGCAAAGGCAGGCGATAAATTGCGATTGGTAATCGGTCTACGATAAGTATCAAGCCATTTAACAGCGCCCGCGTGGATGCAGTCCATGCTCTAGAATAATCTTTTCCAATATCGAAAACTGCAATGGCCCTGATTGACCACCAATCGGGCTATCCCCGTTACTAGCCCTGCGTGAACCGTGTTTCTCAGATATACAATGGATTTGTAAGCTTGCTAAAGGGGTCGGAGCTTTCTTGATGACGAGATTTTCTCAATTGTCGCTCATTTCGGCAGAAACTTCGTGCAATTGCCAGCTACCATGGATTACTAGTCAATTTCCAATGATGATTAACTATGAGAGAGACAAAGTGTTGTTTTGTAAGCAAGTAAGCGGAGGCCGAAAGTTTTGATCTATATAAATGGGCGGCAACCTCCAGATCTCAAACTTCATCACTATCAGCATCTCTCTTCCTTGATAAGAGCAAGGAACGCTACTGTCTACAGTCGTTCGCCATGTCTTCTTCTAAGACTAATATCGTGATTATCGGCGCATCATACGCTGGCATTGGTCTGGCTCAAGCCCTACTCAAATCAATGCCCAAAAACATCCGAATCGTACTCGTCAACCCATCCGACAAGTTCTTTTTCAACATCGCCTCACCCCGTATTCTAGCCCGACCGACCGCTTTCCGCAAGGATCAATACCTTATCCCCATCATCGACGCGTTTGCCACGGCCCCGGTCGGTGCTTTCGAGTTCATCCAAGGTCAGGCAGTCGATATCGACCCATCCACCAAAAATTTGACGCTCGCCAATCAGCAGTCCCTCAAGTTTGACTATCTGGTCATCGCATCCGGTAGCTCCACGGCCTCCTCGACAGGTACTGGCAGCATTTTGGCCCCATTCAAAACAACTGGAGACAATCATCTTGAAGCAGCCATCGAAATCGCGCAGCATGAGATCTCGACTGCGAAAAACATTGTCATCGGTGGTGCCGGCGCAGTCGGCGTGGAATTCGCTGGTGAACTGGCTGAGGCACTCCAAGACCGATCCAATGTACGCATCACACTTATCTCGTCGTCGTGGCACGTGCTCCCCGCCCTGAAGAAGGCCGGATCGGAACGCGCGGAGTCTATACTGGCTGAGAAGGGAGTGACATTAAAACGGTCGTGTAAGGTGCGAAAGGCGGTGCAAAATCCCAAGACTAAGAAATGGTCGGTCACTTTGGACAACGACCAGATCATTGAGGCCGATGCGTACATCTCGACGACTGGAGTAATTCCCAACAACCAGTTTATACCCCCGCAGTTTCTGGATACCAAAGGGTGGGTGAATGTCGACAGCGAGATGCGTGTCAAGGGGCCCATTTACGCCATTGGTGACATCACATCCCATCCAGCCCGTCTGTTGCTTAAAGCCCAGGAGCAGATTCCCATTGTTTGCGCAAACTTGAAGAATGATATCTTGGGTCAGGGCAAGCGAAAGACGTATACTCCCGATGACAAGGTCATGCTCTTGGTGCCGGTGGGTTCATCCAGCGGAACCGGTCAGATGTTTGGTATGGTTCCTTGGGGTAAAATGGTTGGGATGATCAAAGGAAAGGACTTCTTCGTTTCAAAGGCACGAAGTATGATTGGGGTGAAATAGACTTAGGGTTGAATTGCGATGTGTGTTGGTCTTCTGGGCCTGAAATTTCTGCGATACTAATGTTTATTTTTTTGCTCTTCATTCTACAGGTCTCTAGAGACATTTTGAACGAGATACTTTTATCATTTTGGTATATCATCATCGAATAGCTTCGTCATTAGCGAGATGGAGGTCTATTTAACCCTTGGTTCTTATAAACGTGCATGAGCTCGCAGAATTAGCTGTATACCTCGAACTTTCAGGCGTCAGGCGGAGATTGAATATGGAAAGATGGCCAACAGCGTTCGGAGAGAATCCCAAATGTAGGTTTTAGTTATGTACACTACAGTATGATAGAGTCACAGACGTCTTGCAATAGACTTAATTAATTTTAGTAGCCTCTCTTTCCCTCTATCTTCAATATTATGGTCTTTAGTGCCACAGCCTTCGTTTCCTCAGTACCCTTATTGAAGGACAACGTAGGTAACTTAAGTGAAAGTGGTAAATTTCAAATTATAAGATATTTTTAAATTTAATTTCTTCTTTATTTGGCTCTGATGAGGATTCAGGAGAGAACTATAGTATTTTATAGATAATTTATTTATAGAATTGTCTTTTATACAGATAAATAACTGTCTTCTATAGATTATAGAGTGGTTAAATATAACCAATCTATTGTTGATATACTATGACCTAAGAAATTGTATTTTAGTATGATGTTTTTTGGTGTCCAGATCGGCGGGTAATTACATTAAATTATAACTAGTAGATTTGTTCTGTTGTTCGGAATGCTGTTACGGTCAAGCCGATCTCCGCGACTTCCGGGTCACCCCTAAGGATTTCACGACCCTCGAGGTCGGCCCGGGTCATGGAGAGCTATATGCATTCCGTTCCGAACCCGAAATCAGACTTTAACATCCCGGACAATCTTATCACCCCGGCCTAGACTACGCCAAAGTCAAGAACCTGTAGACCGGCAAATAAACCCGCGTATGATATACGCATGATTGGTCTAAATGAGGAAGGTCCTGAGAATTTTGTTCATAGATCCATGAATTTGCGGATTATATTGTTGGAGGCTTGCGTGTTTTGGTGTTTTGGGGAGACATGACGTACGCCTGGCGCAGTCTACCAGATCTTCTCGGCATGCACGGCCTCTGGGCAGTACACAATACCAGCAAAGTGCAGATCCGTCCATCCGTACTCAAGAATCGGAAATATTGAAATATGGATGGTCTTAGCGTCTCTTACCCGTGGAACCACTACATAAAGCACTGCGCCGCATGCTGGACCCAAAGGTCCATTAGAAGGTGGCTTATCATTAATGTAGTCCGTTGTGCGTGAAACATAATTCTTCGGATTACTTGAATACTTCTTCATCCAAGCTAGCTTGTGCGTGACTTTTTCTTCTAAATAATATCTCTGCGCTTTCTCCTTTACGGCAAAGGCCCCTGCCATAGAATCGAGCTAGAGCATCCCTGGCAGGTTGGTGCATATTAATGATATGCTTCATCTATTTTGAGCCGTTTTGCTACCATAAATCATATCTCGACGCAGTGGCATTGAACTCTCCCAAAGAATGGCACAAAAGGAGGCAATCGAAGGATTATCATGTCCAACCAAAATCCCACATTGGCGACTAGTTTGGGACCAAAGCCTTGTCACAGCAGATGTGCGAGATTATCCCTATCCCGGATCAGGCACCGAGGACGATCCCTATTGCGTGTCTTGGATACCAAACGATCCCCGAGATCCAATGAATTTCACCAACTCCAAAAAGTGGCTCATCACTGGCCTCGTCGCATCGTCAACTTTGGGTGTCGCCCTCGTCTCTTCTGCCTTTACCGGAGGTTCTTCCGCAATTATGGCAGAGTACGATGTGAGTCATGAGGTCGTAACACTGGGTGTGTCATTATTTGTGCTTGGTTTTGCCATTGGGCCGCTCCTCTGGGCTCCACTGAGTGAAGTGTTTGGTCGCCAAAAATTTTTCATCACGACGTACGGCGCCATGTCCTTCTTTAATGCTGCCGTGACAGGTTCACAAAATATACAAACAATTTTGGTCCTCCGTTTCTTTGCCGGAGCATTTGGCGCGTCCCCATTGACCAACGCGGGTGGTGTTATCGCTGACATGTTTGCGCCGTCGCAGCGCGGCCTTGCCATGGCTCTCTTTGCATCTGCGCCCTTCCTAGGCCCCGTTATTGGCCCTCTTGTTGGTGGATTCCTCGGCATGACTGCGGGCTGGAGATGGGTGCTTGGTTTTCTCGCCACTTTCTCCGGAGTTCTGTGGATAGTGGGCTCAACCCTGATTCCCGAAACGTATGCCCCGGTCCTTTTACGACGACGGGCAAAAGTGTTGTCGAAAATAACCGGAATGGCTTACAGGAGTAACCTTGATATCGATAGGGCTCCGGTTCAGCTCCGTGCAGCATTCGCAACAGCCTTGTCACGCCCCTGGAAACTGCTGTTCCGAGAGCCAATTGTCTTTTTGCTTTCAATGTATATGGCGATCATTTATGGCACCCTATATATGCTCTTTGGGGCATTCCCCATTGTCTATGAACAACACAGAGGCTGGAACCAGGGCATCGGGGGCTTGTCGTTTCTTGGGGTACTTGTAGGCATGCTTTTTGCCCTCGTCTACACCGTTCCCGATAACAAGCGATACATTAAGGCCATATTGAAGAATGATGGCCGAGCAATCCCTGAAGCCCGCCTCCCTCCCTCTATTCTCGGTGGAATTGCTATTCCTGTGGGCCTTTTCTGGTTCGCTTGGACAAACTCGCCATCACTCCCCTTTATGGCGAGTATCGCAGGTGGTGTGCCATTTGGATTTGGCATGGTTCTCGTCTTTTTGAGTGTGTTGAATTATCTTATCGATGCATATACGATCTACGCAGCTTCGGTCCTTGCAGCAAGCGCTGTAGTTCGCTCTCTATTCGGTGCGGCATTTCCCCTGTTTACGACTCAAATGTTCCAAAACCTTGGCATACATTGGGCTTCATGTATCCCGGCTTTTCTTTCACTTGCCTGTGTACCATTCCCTTTCATCTGTTACCAGTATGGCAAGGAGATTCGTCGGCGCTGTAAATATGCTGCAGAGGCAGATGACTTCATGCGCAAACTGTCTGAGAAGAGTAAAGAGGAAGTGCCCGAAATCAACGGTCAGATAGATGATTCAAACCCAGAGGCTCATGTCGCCAGACCAGAGTCCCCGCCCCCAATTCTATCAAGAAGGTCGCTACATCTCGTCCCTACAGTGGAATATGAAGGGAACCCCTTCGACATTGATCGCGTCAACACTCGTGACTAGTACGAAGCTGCTTGTTCCTGGCGGCGGCGGAAGAATGGGAAGGAGGACAACGACTGTATCTAAAAATCTTCAGCCGGACGTCCATCCTAGGAACTAGCATTTTTCATTCCATTTACATATATCAAATGGATGGCATACGCTTTACTCCGATAGGAAACGTACGAATATATCTACCAGCCTTGAACTCTCCCTTCATTTAGACAGCGCTAGCGGACAACGCATACAACCTCATCCAAGAACGTGCGACAGATGCATTTCTTACTTACAGTGGCGACGAGGTTGAGTAAATATGTCCCGAGGTAAGCGAGTCTGTCAGGTCATAACCATGGCCATGATGAGGATAAATGGACCTCATAAAGACAGATTTTGTATATTTGGTAGCGAAAGGTGATCAACTGCCGACTCTGAACAATGACAAAAGGATTGAGCGTATAAGTAAGGGCGTGGATCTAGGTACAGAAACCATTCAACCCCAGCTTGGCAAATTTCACGAGAGCTTTTTTGGACGAGCAAGCGTCGTAACGGTGTATTTCTCATTGAGATGACCCCTGCCTAAGCCATTCCCTTCTAAGCTATTCCTTTCTAAGCTATTCCTTCCGCCTGTCTTCCCTCTTTAGTTATATACCTCTTCGCGACTCGGCGAATTTACTTGATGCTGTAAGTTTGGAACATGTATATTTCAGTCATGAACCGTTGCCACTGTACGTGTCTGTCAGCTTTGTTTTACTGCCGTAAATTTCTATTAGATTCTATTGATAGCAACTGAAAGCGACGGACACCCTGTATCTGTTCGTTTAGACCCGGATAAACGGCCGGGCCGGCGAGAATATACTTAAAGCAAATGTTAATAATTTCGTATATTCAGGACCTTTGATGGGTTGGAAGAACGGTCTCTGACATAATAAAACTGTGTATCGGAGAATAGTTAAATACTTATTGCTATGTTTGTAGTGTCAGACCGGAGCTGGAAAAGCAGTTCACAATTCACATCGATTCACGGATAAGATGATACACGTGATCTAATACTTCTTGTGATATCAAATCCGCTCGGTATATAAAATGTTTGGAAATCTATGAAAGTGCTCCTAGAAGATCCTAAGATGATAGACGTGATTGAGTCCAGATCAAAAGATAGTGTCTAGGTCCAGGAAAATTGATTCCGATATTATTTGTCTTTCTATATAATTGGTAAGTTATACTTAGTTCTGAGCCCGCCGCATGTTACACCCTCGCGCCCTTATTGGCGCGCTCGCTTCTAAGCCTCCCCACGGCGATATTACATCCTGTTCCATCAAATCAGATTGCAAAAACGACGCATGTCTGTCAATGAGATCTGCTAGCCGCAAAAGCATGCCCCCCTCTCCTGTCCTGCGAAGTATCTCCACGGACCAGTCTTGAAAGCCGCCAGTGCTGCGCCCACCACAGAATCGACATTTCTCTTGTTTGCCACTTGCACCTAAGTAGTAACAATTGAGTCATTGGCTGGATTGTAGATCGTTAATTTGGAACCTGAGGTAGACGAGACATACTACAGAATATGTAAAATTAGTAAATAGGGTCTCAAGCCTGGCGGGGGTCAGAAATACTTCATTGTTAATAAACAGCCTTGTCTCATCTCAAGGAGGCGATTGGTATCCATATTCAGGGTGTCTTGAGCCAGAAAATAGGTAGCTAGGAAGTTCCAGTAATATGGGGAGGGTGAGGCCGGTGACAAGTCTAAGGAGTCGGTCCGATCCAAAACGTAGAATAAAAGGAACTAAACAAACCCAGTGAGCATCTCACATAATCAAGGCCGCTTTGACTGATCTCTTCGTATGGGAATGCTCCGAAGAAGCAAGGACGTTAGCCAGCCAGCTAGGAAATGCGGTGGTGGGGAAAGGGAGAGTGTCATTCATTTGACAGTGGATCATATTAGTTACTTCCATGGCGACAGAATAGACCAGATTGGGACAAGATAAAATATACCTGGCAACCATTGATTAAGTACTCATCAGATGAAATTTAATGAGTGATAATTAGGCTTCTTCTTACCCTTACTGGCAATAGCCTAGATTTCCCCACCATATCCCCACATATGAAATCAAAGAATATGGTATATTCTAATATAGTTTCCCCACCACCATCTTGAATATTGGCAAAACCGGTGACGGACCATGGCTTCGGTGACTGACTTTCTGCATACCCCGTTGGACCCCTTGCCTACTCATGTCTACAGGGCCTGCTTCAATTTCCAAGACCTTGAGTCTTCCAAGCAATAGCTTCAAGTTCAATATAAGTACAGTCAGAATCGATGGGGTAGGCGGGTGGGGTAGGCGGGTAGACCAATCCCTGCGGCTTTCCTCCCGAGCATCTCCGGTTGCTAGTAGATAGTTCTCAACAAGCCTCTGGTTCTCACCTTGAAACATTCCACTTATTGCGGAGAGAGTTTGTTGGGCCACTTACCATTGAGAAATTGTTGAGGTATCAGGTACTTAATTCAACATGCATAAGGTGAATAGTTGAGCATTAACACTTTCAAGCCTATAAAGCTGACAAGGAATCACTGGCCGTAAGGCAGGTTACAATTACAAGAAAACGAAAACACTACTCTCAAAATGAGCGCTCCCCAAATCACCTTTTATTTTGACATTAACAGTCCATTCAGCTACATCGCATTTCATGTTCTAAAGGTATGATATCCCTCCCCTGTACGGCGGCCGGTAAATTTCTCCTTCTTGCTGAACCATTTGCAGAGCTCCCCCGTCTTCTCAAAGTGCGAGATTCAATACGTTCCGGTTTCTATCAGAGATATCTTCCAACTCTGCCAGAACCCACCACCTGCAATCAATAGTGCGTCCCAGTATCTAATTTTGTATATAAAGGCTTGGATTGAAGCGCTGATCTCAGTGGCTTTTTCTTATCGTAGACAAACTTCCATGGATTGATCGTGAGCGCTTGTACTGGGCTCGTCGATTCGGACTCCCCATGTCACAGCCCATCCCTAACGGATTCCCCGCATCAACCGTTCACCTCCAGACGGCCCTCGCTTTGGTTGCCCGGCACTCACCCGAGAAACTTGTTCCAATCGCGGAGAAACTTTACCACACTTTTTGGGCAAAGGGTGATACCAGTATCATCCATCCAGAGATGTTCTCATCTGCCTTCGAAAGCGAGCTCGACGGCGAGGTTGCGAAAAAGATCCTGCGCGAGGTAATTATTGGCTTTGCCTTGAACAATCCATGACCCAAGCTTATGCTATTTCTTGAGCAGTCGTCTGATCCCGAGGCCAAAGTTATCTTGTGTGAAAATACGCGGAGGGCTTTTGCCTCTGGCGCATTTGGTCTTCCATGGTTTGTCTGCACCAACGCCGAAGGGGACACGGAGGGACACTGGGGGGTCGACCACCTCGGTTGTGTGGCCAACTTTCTACGCTTGGACAGAAACGTGGATCCGTCATTCAAGGTGTTACTGTAGATAGGAATGCGATTGATTACTAGATAGTTTAGTAGTGTTGATGAGATTCAGCCTGTTTACTTCCCGTCTATGCTCGGCTGCTGTCTGTGGGATATCCAGTGCCGGACCGGGTTTGATGTGTGTTCAGGGGAGAAAATTGGCTGTAGCACCTAGTTTTACTAGGGAACTCGGCGTCAACGCCCGTGCAAACGAGCACTAAGGCCTCTTCACTCCTCGACATTATTAACAATATGCTATATCTTATTTAAAACGACCATTTCACCAGTCATTCCTTAAAAATTTCCGAGGGTATTCCTATGGCTAGACTTTTCTTCCTTCCATCCGATTATACATAGCCATTGTTTCTTCCTAACCTGACTTGTTGTAACAGATTCCGGGTCCCTTGAATGGTTGTTGGAACCACGCTAAAGGCTTGAATATACCTAGTAGGTAATTCATTCCAATTTAGCCTGACCAACGAGCAACTCGGTGTTAATCTGGGTGAGATCAATTTCCTGATTGTCGTATTTTGCGACTTTCGAGACGAAGAAAGGATCGGTAAAGGTGATTTCTTCCATCTGCTTGTATGAGTTTGCAATGCCTAGGCAGACTCCACCGGTACATGGGACCTTCTTGGCGAACATAATATAAGCACCGGTATTGTATTGTTTCTTAAGCCATTCGACGTGGAATATTCTTCGACTTGCTCGGAAGGAGCAATATAGGAAACAGAGAGCAGGAAGAGAGGCATTGTGCTGAGTTGAGTTTAAACCCTAATGTAGTTGAAGGAGAATATGACGGAGGAAAGTTTTTGAATATGGCTTCGGAGTGTCCAATATAATTAGGTAGTTGGATAAATGTTAGTTAACTAACTCGTTAACTAGTTAAATAGTTAGTCAGTTAAAGTTGCCAATGCTTAACAAGCTTGAATTCCCCACCATAACTGGTCCATTTCTTATGCACCTTTCCCCACCACCACCACCACCACCACGTTGCTTATCAGGATCGGTTTGTACTATGCAGAGTAGAACTAAGTCAAATACTTTCTATTGGCTTGAGTCATGATAAGATCACTGTTTCGAAAAGACATCTCGAACTTATCTTATTTTTCTCCTATCCGATCAAGGCAGAAATTAATCCCTTCCAAAATACCACCAAGCCTACGAGTCCATACGCGAAGGAAGCACCAGTATCGACAGTATTCATTTTCAATTGAGCCAGACCAGCCATCACCCGGTGTCAGATCGTGTTGATGGAAACAAAATGCGCTATCAAGACTATTTGGACGCCTACAATCACCCGGACGAGGGAGCCAAAGCCCGTTTCTTTACTGGGGAGCCCGGTTGACACCGACAAGAATGTTAGTATGGTGGGACCTGCAAGGATCCGAATGCTTCGAATTCTGCTGCCCATTTTTACATAGATGACCTAATCTAACACTTTGTATGACTACTTACATTCTGCCACAATCACTGCTTGATATCTAGTTTGTATATGTTTATTAGAAAGTATATAGGGACTACATCTTAGGAAGCGTGTACAATCTTTTCGGAGGGTGCGATTTTGTTGACCAAGCTCGATTGCTCTGTGATCGCGCAGCACAACTGCGTTATGAAGCTAATGTGTGGACTGGGCGGATACCTGAAATCGAGAACATCCGATGAATCTCATGAAGCCCAGCGACAGGATCTGCCCAAAAGGGTTCCCCGATGAGAAGGCACAAAAGGTGGTGGGGAAAGGACAACAAACCCCCACATCCATACATGGTTAACCCCGACAGCTTGTGGCTTACCCCACGCAGCGCTTTCTCTTTTGGTAAAACAACTTGAAACGCGACCCCCTAAATAACTCCCTTCTTCAAAATAAAGGATTATCTGTAGCAAAGCAAAGGATGAGGACAACAAACGTCCACGTCAGACCATTTTTACCGGGGAGAATAATCAGCTATGACAGCGAAAACTGCAACTTGCACCGTGAAGCAGGTACCACCAGATTTTCCGCTTTACAAGGGAGTCTCGTTTACGGCAGACCGAATTAAAGCTGTCCGCAAGACCCTGCCGCAGCCTGGCGGGTATAAGTGGCTATACGAGTATATTGATTTATTGGATCCGGTCAAAGACTGGGAGCAGGTTATTCGAACCGAGTTCAACTACACTTTCAACGAATTCGGCGGTTCTATTCCGCACACAACCGCTTCATCAACGTTATCCAGAACCCCGTCGGTAGGAGGACTCTCGCGGGGACTGGGAAGGTTTTTGGTCATTTCCATGGTCATGACCGGCTGATGGATGCGAATGGCTTTCTGTTCAGCTGGATGCTGGAAGGTCTCACGACGCCGAATGGAAAGGCTGAAGTTGAACGGTTGAATCGGCTCCATATGCGTCTTGCCAAACGGTTGCCCGGGAATTTTGCGGATAAGGACGATTTCATTATTGCTATCGTCAACCTTGCTCTATTTCCTGCTCATCTGAGGGAGGTCTCTGGCTTGCCTCCGCTACCCGAGAATCGACGAATAGCGCGGCTCAATTGGTCTCGAGCACTATGGGCGAAAATCATTACGGAACTTGGACCTGCGAGGATGGAGGACTTCCAAAAACCTGGGAAGAGATGATGGAATGGGAGCGCCAGTTCAATGCACGGCCACATGAGCCTATCGATGAAGGCCATCGAGCGGCTGAAGCGCTCATCGACCACTCTTGTTGGCAGTGGTTTCCAAAGCCACTACGATCTATCGGCAGGGAGTTTATTTTGTTGATCCTCCCCGATTCCTCAATCCGAAAACATCGGCTAGGAGAACGGAAGCCCTGGTTGGATTCGTGCATCTACTACGGTTTCCGTCTCATGCTCCTTCTCCAATCTTTGGCGCCGGATCCACGCATCGGGCTGATCGATGGCATAATGGTGGAGGAGCAAAAGAAGGCAGGGGTTCTACCCCCTCGAAAGCAGCGGCTCTCGATGCCTACGGTTCTAGCGTTCTTGCTATTGACTAGGTTTGCACATTTCTTGTATCAGAATGTCAGGTGAGATCGGGAGTAGTCAGAGTGCATGCGCACCTTGGAGAAAATCTGAAAAATCTGTATCTCTAGACTTTGCATTCATTGAGCCGTGGCTGAAAGAAAATGTTCTTTTATAGCTAAGTCAAGAACATGGCGTTTGCTCTGTTCTTTTCTTTTTTTTTTTTTTTTTTTTTTTTTTTTCCCGCTTGGTAGCTGTTTCAAAATGAGCTCAGCGAAGGAAAATGGGAATGTCTAGCCCTATTGTGTACTACTTTGACTGTAGGTGTTATACCATTGTCCCAGCCGCAGAAGGCAAGTCCATTCAGTGAGCAGCACTCAGCGTGTTTCAAACGTAGAGTCGCGGCTGACAGAGACCCTGGTTCAGGATGATGTCGATATGGACGTAGCGAGATACCTCCCCAGTAACTTCTCTACGCCCCAGATCCGGCTTGGAGCATTGAGGACATCAGACCAAACAGTAGCTACGGCCTTGCTGGGAGGCAACAAGTGGATGTTTTCGATACCGGAATCCTCGATAAGCGAGGCCACAGCATCCAGAAGTGCTTGTTCTTCTGTGTTACATTTCGCACCCCTTTGGGTATCGTACTCAACTGTGTAAAGCCATCCGACAAGAAGTACAACGCAATGATATCCGAGCAAGCAATGGCCGGGATAAACATTGATGCTGCCAGTGAATCTCACAAGGTGTATTCCTCTTGAGATGGGCCCTCGGAGGAAAACGAGGCTGTGCTTGGCCGCGATGGTCATATGCGATGACCGTTGTGTTCGTACTAGGAGTGGGTTTACATTCTGGGCATCTTCGACAAGGCCTAGAGTTATTGCCTTCACATTGGCCAAGGCAGGCGTGTCCGCGTACAGATGAACACATGTCACCTCCCATAAAACAATACCTAGGGCAATGAGCGAAGGATTTGCCCTGGATGCTTCTTCACACGCCACACAGAGCTCCTTTATTGAAAGCATCCATCGTCCCAGGGCATTTGCAGCCGATTGAAGTACTTGTGTCGCAAGTTGTGATGGAAGGGCCATGGCCGTATACCTCGAACGACGAACGTGTGCCCAAAGTGCATGCATGAGCGTCAAGTGGCCAAGCACACTTGGCGTCGTACAAAGTGGCTCTGGGGTATATAACAGGGCGTGAAAGGCAGACTTGAACGATTTTGGTACCTGCATCAGGGAGCGTTGGGATTTCCAGGCTTCGGCATTTGGGCACAACCATAGAGGTTCATCATATGGCATCTCGAAGTCAAAATCACCAGGAACAGAAATTTCGTCCGACATAGACGAGACGCTCATGAGCCCAAGGAAGATAATGGTATTAATAATCGCTCTACTGCGATTAGAAGGGTCGATATTATCTGTAACGAGGCTGAAAACTCACCTTTTTCGTGCTTCAGCCTCGACCCAACTTTCCCAATCGTGGCATTTCGAGGAGCACAGATCCTCCCTAGTAGTTCGTAACTCCTGCAATACGTTCTTTAGCGATCTCAGCGAGTAGGAACGTTGCAATAGTTGCCCACCCTTGTTAATCTTGCCTGAAACTTCAAGCCGTTGGACCGGAGAGTAGCATCATCTGACCCGAATATAAAACAGGTAATGAACAGCAGTGTTTGTAAATACACTGTTTGCTTTTTTGACCCCTCGTCCGTATCGAGCGTTGACTTGGATAGATCATGAAGAGCTCGGGCTTCCACAGGATTGAAGGAGTAGAGGGCTCCAATTGCAAGCATCGATAAGAGCAGAGCACTAGGCGATGTGCGCACTTGGAATGTTGGTACATGCATCAAAGGCATGTGGACATGGAAATATTGGAAAAAGCTACGTATATAACGTTGGCACTTGACTTTTGCCGGGAGACTGCGATTCTCCGGCTGCGATCCTCTCCCAGTGGCATCTTGTAACCGTACCATGACGGTGTCGTCCAGCAAGAGTTGAGCTGGAAGCTTGCTTTGGTTCTCGTTAGAGTTTTCCACTAATTCAAGAAGCTTCATAGAGGTCTCGCATGACATGTAGTCCGAGGATCGAGGTGAAGGGAGATCCGATGGGTTTAGGGTAGGATAGCGGATACCAACGGAATCCATCAGGCTTGGATTTACGTGCGTTGGCCCTGCATTCCAGATGGGAAAACCGGTAGCATGCACTTTGTCTCCTGCTGCACCATCGCTAGCAGAGATGTTGTCATACATAGTCGACATTATGCTATTGACCGTGCCGGCTACATTCAATGCAACCTCGTTGTTATCCCCCTCAGTCTCCTGTGTTCGATTCTGATTAGGCAGCAAACTGTAATCGCCGTCTGGGAGAAGAGTATCGCTTGAGCCAAAGAAATCACTATACATGTCGATGTTACTGTAGTCCCACGTTAGGCTCCGAGAGGGACCCCCACTTGACTGGAGTTGAGTTTCCATCTCAGCCATAATTCCGACAGCAGGTCGTAGTGGCTCCGTGGTCTGCGCGCTGTTTGTGTCGGTCGCCGAAAGCCAGTCTGTTTGGAAAGTCTGACTTTCTTGAATCTGATGTGTTCGTGTTTCCTGGATCTGCGACGCCTGGACCCTTGATGCACGTTGCCTGTGGGAGGGTTTAAGGATGCGATGAACGCACCGCTCATGTCGTGTCAACACGTCCCTGCACCATGTCAGTCGCAAGAAGCGTGAAGTGGCAGCGTGCCGGATTTTTCGTACTTGCGAAGAAAGGCTCTGGGGCAGGAGGAGCACTTAAAGGAACTCCGAGGCGTATCTGGATCTAAATACTTGATGAGCTTAGCTCTTGCACTGGGCGACCTGGGGCCTACGTGATTGTTCGTGCCGAAGCTTGTGCTCTTTTCTCGCAAACTTGGCGTCGCAAAATGAACACGCAAATCGTTTGCGAACCTCCGGCTGCATGACGAGATTCTAACACAGTGAATATGTAAGGTGAGTAGGCAGCAAGCTTCGAAAACAGGGGCGAAGTGTATGCGAGTACCCCGCCCCTTGAGTCCTGACGGAACACCCCGGGCAGCGTTGTCAGCTTCATTCATAAGCGTATCCACCGCCTCACACCCTACTGGGTCCTGACCAGGACGCTGCCCATTGCACTGCACCACCCCCCTAAGGCGGCAAAATAGTATTACCAAATTTTATATCGCCCCGCTTGGATAGCTCATGAATTTGAATCAGATCCCAACTGCACCGCTTTCCATAAGCTTTTCGCCAGTAACCTGACACAGAGCAAGACGGTGATGTGGCCCGTGATTGGAATGATAGTCTGCCGATGTTCCAGACACAAGACACATTTAGATGTTTTAGATCGTCGCTCTAGAGTTCAAACAGAGCTTCCTTATTTTGTCGGACCTGCTTAAATTTAAAATAATTCTCTAAGATTCTCTACACCCACAACATCATGAATAACAGGCCTGTTCGAGAGTAGATAGGTTTCGGGCTGCGGTTACAGTACGTTGCGAAACCGGTGCAACCGCTTCCACTCTTTGAGTGATTCTCTAGGCCCACCGCCAAGAGACACTGGAACATATTAGAAATGGAACCGGAATATCAATATCCTTGTAACCTACGTACAAAGGAATACATATGTAACTCCCGAAAGAACTTCAAATATAGAGTAGTGGGTCTTAGCGTAAGGAGGAAAAGAGGCTATCGAATTGGAGTGGTTGCACCAGTTTCGCAACGTACGGTATCATGCTTTAGACGTCAGCGACCGGAATACTAATTGAACCGAATATCTAAATATTACAAAAAAGAATACAGGTCTCTGAGTAATAAGAAAAATCAATTGCCGGTGGTTAGTCACTTCTCCAGGCGCCGACATGCTGTCCATTGATTAACCGCCGTAGGGCCTATCGGATCGGGGAGATTACCAGGTATATCCCGATGTCCGCGGCTTGGCAAATCGCCGTCCCGAACGATCCGCCCAAATCAAAGGCAACCACTAATCAACTAATTAGTGCCGTTCACCTGTAACAATGCAAACTTATATACTTCTAGTTATGATAGACCCTGCATCTCATCTTTTGGTTTCTCAGTCGTGGACTCGGTCTTCCGTCTTTGCCACAAAATGGATGCTAAATTCAAAGTGTTCGACGAGATTGAAATCACCTACAAGACAATTAGGGACACGCCTTTGACGACAAGTATCCTCATACCTAAGAATGTCAAAGGCCAAAGGTGCCCCGTCTTGGTGCATTTCCATGGTGGTGGGCTCATGGTTGGCGACAAAATGTTTGCCCCTTGGTTTCCCTTATGGTAGGCCGCCCTTCGTTACTTTCCTCATTTCATTAAGTTGCAGCGCCTAACGTACGACTCCTAGGCTTGCGCAGTTTGCCGAATCTCACGGAGCTATAATCGTCACTCCAAATTATCGACTGATCCCCGAGGCTAAAGCCGTTGATATTCTTGATGACGTTAAGGATTTCTGGGATTGGCTCCATCTCTCGTTGCCTAATGAAGTGGAAAAGTTCCGCAAGGACCTATCTCCGCAGCTTTCCAAGATCGCTGTCGCCGGTGAAAGTGCTGGTAGGTATCCCAACAATGTTCAACCCATTGATTTGCTAATTCAATTAACATGTAAAGGTGGCTATTTATCGTTGCAATCCGCATTCCTTTTCCCGGAGGCTCATATCAGTGTCGTTTTGGCTCAGTACGGAACGCTCGATATTGACAGTCCGTTCTACAATCCCCAACCCACCGGTCCTCTCCAAGGCAGTTCGGTTGTCAACAATTATCTGGCGAATTTAAAACCCGGTTCTATAAGGGTGTCTTCCCCTATGCCTGACAGGTGGGATCTTTGCGAAGCTATTCTTGCGGAGGGCAGACACCGCGAGTTAATAGGAAATGAAGATAAGGTTCGCCTCATGAAGACCCTTGAACAGGCTCAAACCCCACCAGCCATGTGGCTGGCCCAGGGTACCGATGATCCAATTGTAAGTATTTAAGCTGAAAGAAAGTAAGAAAGCTTTTACAACTAACAGCTAAATAGATGCCGTTGGAGACGGCGATGAACTTTGTGGAACAGATGAAGAAATCTCATCCAAGTACGCCGTTGCACGTTTCTATTCAGCCCGGCTCACATGGGTTTGATTGCATGACCACATTCCATGAAGATTGGGTCAAGGAAGGCTGCAAATTTGTTGAAAAGTATTGGCCATAGAGTGATCAAAAATCTTGCTTCCAGCAGCAAGGCTGGGCATGAAAATCGAGAATGTGGCGAAAGAGATCTATATTTCCATAACTGGTAGCCAGTTATACGTGAAGCAGATAGATAACTTACTGGCCACTCCGAATATATTATGAGGTACTTATGTACTTTGCTTAGAGGACAATAATAAGAAAACAACACAGGGTAGTTATATTTATATCTTTTTATCGACTGCTTCATTCACCTTTCTCTGGTGATCATGGCGCCCTCTCTTACGAAAATCCCGTGCCCATGCTCCCTGCTCCTTCACATTCGTCAGATCCCAATGAATTGAGCATGTGCTTCCACACTGATATTATTTATGACACTCTTTCCCTTCTCGTTGTGCTCATCTGCATAGGAAAATCGAATCAACCGTTTATTTGTCAGCGTAACAATAGAATTATTCTATACAAAGAACATGTCTCGATGCGGGTTTTTATCTCCCCGGTTCCGGTAATTCCATGGCGTTCACTTTCGGGCCGACAAAGAAAACTAGCAAACCTGCTTTCACGGATAGTTTGAACCGTGCTGACCATCTCCCACACCGAGTTGGCATGTTTGCCACCATTTTCATTATTTAGCTGATGCCTTGGCTGTTCTTATTCAACCATACAAGACATTTCATTCAACTCCTTTGCAACTGCCCAAAAATACTAACGAGAATGGCTCCCACAATGAAGGCGATAGTGATTCACCACCCAGGGGGCCCAGAGACGCTTCGGATTGAACACATTCCTATTCCCACGCCTCGTATTGGCCAGGTACTTATCCGAGTCAAAGCATTCGGGCTCAATCGATCCGAGGTGTTTACACGAAAAGGGCACTCGCCGGGTGTGAGGTTTCCGCGGGTGCTCGGGATCGAAGCAGCAGGCATAGTCGTCTCGGCTCCCGGTGGCGAATTTCCAGGAGGCACTGTGGTCCTGACAGCGATGGGCGGGATGGGAAGAGCATTCGACGGAGGTTACGCCGAGTATACCCTTGTTCCTGCCGTTCAAGTTCAGGCCATCACCACAGAACCCTTACCATCATGGGAAGTTCTGGGTGCAATGCCGGAGATGTTGCAAACTGCCTGGGGTTCGCTCTTCAAATCCCTCCGCCTGCAACCAGCTGATCGGTTACTCATCCGTGGTGGCACTACTTCTATCGGACTGGCGGCCGCAGTGATTGCCAAATCGCACGGTGCCTTTGTCGCCGCGACCAGTCGAAGATCCGATCGGGAAAGACTCTTACGTGATAATGGAGCGGACGAAACATTTGTCGACGACGGAATGCTTTCGAAGAAAGTCAGGGACCCATTCGATAAAGTCCTTGAACTTATTGGCACTGAGACGCTACAGGACTCCCTACACTGTGCTAAGGAAGGGGGCCTTGTGTGCATGACTGGTATCGTGGGGAATAGGTGGACGTTGGAAAATGTCAATCCGATGGAGTATATTCCTACGGCGGTTAACCTGACTACCTATTCAGGTGGCTATGAGGACTTTATGCGAGCGCCGTTGAATGAGATGGCCAAGAAGATTACGACGAGCGAGCTGCATGTTCAGATAGGTAGGGTTTTTAAGATGGATGAAATTGTCGAAGCCCATCAGACTATGGAGGAAAACAAGGCGGATGGGAAAATCGTCATGTTAACATAATTATAACCTCATTATTTGGTATAACGTGCTGGTTATCTCAATCACTCCCAAGTTTGCAGGTTCTGTACTGAATGGCGAGCTTTGCTTTCCTCGTCAGGGACGTTTTCAAAGTTTCTAATCATCAGCGGTTTTCCAAGAACACTAGGTACGTCCACCTCCTAGCTGCTTTGCTCGGCGTCACCCCAGAGTGATATTATTAATGTTACGGTCCGAAAGCCCGGGAAGATCGGATAAACTGTCTATTTGTAATACCTCTTCACGTACTGTGTGCGAATGCGCCTCATATACGGTAAACAAGTTGGATGCAGTAATATTGGAAAATCAGTTATAATACTCGATTCTTAATATTGGATGGTCCACGATCTTCCGCTGTTGTGGCCCACGAAAGCTGCCTGAGCGTAAGCTCGGCGTATATCATCAGCGCCTTCCTTCAATCCAAATAACGAAGGTGTCAAAAAATATTCCAACAGTTCATGTCCCCAACATGCTCCGCAAGCCAAGTTTCGCTCAGAAGATTTGTAGCGTCTCCATGGAATTGAGAAAAACCATTAGGCGAATTCAGGTTTAATATGTTGTCGTCTTGGCTTGACAGGTTATTGGAGTTCACTCCTTCATTGGCTTGATGGAGAGTCGGTCGTTCAGTTTCTGATCCGAAATCCGGGCAAGAAATGGAAAGAGAACTCAAGCTTACCACTTTCATTCATGGCTGCAACACGGCATTGCAGTGCTTCAATGACTTTCATAGCCTGAGTGGCAGATTGAACTTGCACGCTATGATGTTCAAGTATCATAATGCACCGAGACACGGAGTCTTCAAGTGAGGAGCTGCTGAACTCAGTACCAGGGATAGGGCATAGACGAGAGATAAGAAGTACTATGGCGCAGACGAATGCATCTAAAGACAAGTCAGTGATGAACAAACAATTAGAATCGGACTGGCAGTCCACTGGTATAGTCCGAAAAGCCTGCTAATAACTAACAATGAACTATTCGCCAGCCCGGGCTTCTGGAAACGTCCGCGAGACTTTCGTCAAGATGCGCTATAAGGGTGTGAACCGTCGACACACATAATCTGCAGGCATCCAGTGCAAAGCTGTCCTCCAACCTAAGATTTTTCCGATTACCCGCACACTCTGAAAGGGTGTTTCGATTTTGTGCCGCAGAAAGGAGAACGGGTCTTAAGAGCAAAATCCGAATATATAGAAACCTGGTAGTGATTAGTTTAAGCCTGTAGAAACGATTATGAGGGAAGAAGTTTTTTCGTTCATGCAGATTGTAGATCACTAACCTGGAATAGAACACCCTAGCTTGCAGATTTCCCCCAGTGTTCCTCAAGTCTCTGTCAACTTCGGTCGTACAACCAGATCCGAGATTACTCGGAAGGGACGCGTCTAGGTCATCTAGGGCGGAGTTAAGCTTTAAGATGTCTTCCAGGCGCTGCCTAGAACCCCAAATGCCATTGACATTCGAAGCTGTTGCAACCCCGTTATGGTCATACACCTTCGAGATGATGTCGTCCAAGATGTCGAAGAGTTGGATAGAATATATGAAGAACCCGTCGCGACATTGAAGTTGCCTCAACTGGTTTTCTTCGCCACTTTCCAGTAAGTATGCATCGTCGACCATTAACGGGGCCGGAACGCTCGATTTTTTGGATATCATGCTTGGGCGACCGAAGGTAAGCCCAAGTAATCTAAGAGTACGTCGATGTACTTGTCAGTTCAATTCGACAATCACTGAAAGGGTGCATCGCATAATAACCGACCTGTCAATTACTACACAGTTATGCCATACTCTGCGTCTCATTTCTCGCTCAAGTGGTCCCCTTGAGGCCGATATTGGACTGTCGATGTGAAGACCGATATCATACGCGCTTCTTATTGCTAGGCCAAATATATTCCAGCATCGGCTTGCGTATTTTGTCGATTGGAGATAGAGGCCAGTGAGAAGGAGCATCTGCACAGTAGAAAGTGACGCAAAATCCAAAACATCAACTTGGTAGAACTTCCTAGATTTTTGGTAGAACTGATCCGCCAAAGTTGCCCTTTTGGCGGGAGCCACTATGTCACTAAAGTGACAGCCGATGGCAAATACAGCATTCAATGATGCCAGGAATATAGGGTCCTCTGTTGCTCCAGATTCGGGCAAGGAGGCTTGATCGTCGTCAGGCGCCCACAAAAGTTCATAGGAAGCGACGAACGTTGGCTTGTGAAGTATAGGGAATATTGGATGTGTGGAATTCCAGAAGCAGTTCATCAAGTTATCGGCCACGCGTCGTGGTGGTAACGAAGGGAGGTCTATATCCACATCATGAGAATCCCCCGGCGTCCTTCGGACACGCTTTGATCCGGACGAAGATTCCATATTTTGGCCAAAATCCAACCGAGGTGCATGGTTGCTCTGATTGCTTGTTCCGGCTGCTCGCATCATCGACTGGACGAGACCCATCACTGACGAAGTTCCAGAAGCATACGCTGAGTCGGTCTCTGGCGACGGCACGATTACCGTTGCATCAGTGCAGATGAAGTCGTTCTGGGATGTTGGCAATGCATCTTGTTGTGCCAAAAGCTGGGTGTCAAGATATCGGTCTGACGGTGGAGGTGTAGAAACGACCAGATGATCTACAACATTGCTGGAGCTGTTGGGATCCAATCTTCTTCCAGCTGAATGTATCAAAACGTAAGTACCAGTAACAATTTTAGGCGCGTCATGGTCTACACAAACAGGGTAACTGACGAGTTAGATCCGCGTATATGTCTCCGCCCGATCTTCGATGAGACCCGCGCTGGTTGCTCCTTTGGAGCTCTCTTACACGATCTTCCAAGGTCAAAACGTATCTGCGAGTATCAGCTATATAATCAATCGAAAATAAGCACAACCATGAAAACCTCTGGGTCCTGAGCGAGCCCTTCTCATAGATACAGCTTTGACCTAGACCTCTGTTTGCACATCTGGAGCAAGCTGGTGTACGCCCATCGCATCGTGTCTTATGATTGCGGCAATTGTTACACGCTAGCCGCGTCTTTCGACGTCTCACGGGTGGCCGATGCTCGCGACTGTCCTGTGTTGCGATATCTGGGTTCGAGTTGTATGCAGCCCCATCTCCTGTTCCACTCATATTGTTCCAATTATGTTGAAGTTTGCATAACCCAGCCTTTGAGTAAGAAAGTCGTCCCGCCGGAGGAGTAAGGGTTAGCTTCAAATCGTTTGGGTCGAGTCAGGACGAGGTCATTTGGTAAGTCCGGAAATGGCGGCTCGCCTTCTGCTTAGCTAATCACCTAACATAGTTTAACGTAAGCTGCAACAGGCCAACAGCACAACGAGAATTGTAAAGCCCTGGACACTTCAATCGATCCCTTTCAACTCTTTGGGTCCCTCTTAGCCGGAACCCGGTGATATGATTTACTGCAGTTTTGGTGAGATTAGATAATAACAAACGTTTGGTAACTACCTAACGTACTTCCCGGTTGAATATTCCCCCCCAGTATTACCATACATACAGGATAAATGTTCACAATCAGATATCTTACCAATTATAAGATGTATTATCATAAGTTCGTATCTGTATACCATATAGGCTATGAAGAGCTCTTAGTCTTTTCTTCTTTTTTTCCGAATATTTTAATTGGCGAGTTCTAGTATGTTCTGGCTTCACTAGTATTACTATGGTAAGAAACAAAATGAAGGAATAGACTTTGAAAATACATTTGTGTGTAGATTTTTAGAGCCCTACAGTCTACTGTTGTTAAGATACGACAGTTCAATAATCGATATTATATGGTGATATAACATGGGCTAATTTCCCCACCATCACAAAATCAACGGATAATTCTTATGCAGATTCCCCACCACCACCACCACCACCACCACCACACTTACTTGTCAAGATCTTTCACTCATCGGCGAGAGATACTATGCAGAGTAGAAATAAGATAAATACTCTCTATTGGTTCAAGAATGTGCAGCATCATGAGACAATCCCTCCTCTAATAGTGGTAGTGGACATCACAGCACATTCCCTTGTTTGCCCACAATTACTTGAACAACATTTTCTACCATGACTCGACCTACCGAACATAGTAACGTGGTCCTCGAGACTTTGAACTCGATTGGTGCTCATATCTTCGCCACGGACGGTGATCGCAGCAAAGCCCTCTTGGCCGCGTATGCGCTGGTCAGCCGCCTCGAGACCACGTGGGAGAGGATCGCGAGAATGTGTATGAATGAGGCAAGTTCCCCTGGTGACCTCTCTTACGCCGTTTGGAGGAGTAACTAACAGCGGGGAAATTATAGCCGGCACTGTGGGCCAGCTTGAAGGTAGTCAAGGACCTGCAGCTATTCGAGAAATGGCATGAGCAAGGCGACGCAGTGCAAAGCAGTGATGAGTTGGCCGCTCTGGTCCACTGCAACCCAGACCTCTTCGGTCAGTTGGTGGCATCCATTATATATTATGAAGCTTTTACAATACTTAAAACTGAAACTAAATGGTGGTGCACTGACCAGGCCGCATCCTCCGTCATCTTGCTGTGAACCACGTCCTAGCTGAGCCCACAGCCGGAACGTTTAAGCCAACGAGTTTCTCTCTCGCTCTTCTGCAGCCGGTCTTTGGCGAGTGGATCAATTACCTGTGAGTTTGTGGCTGCATGTGCCACTCTGATGTTTATTTTTCTGTCCCTTCACCTTGGCTCACACCGAAGAATCAGGTATGACCTCGGCATTCCCGTTTTTCACAGCGCTCCTGAGTTCCTACAGAAGACCAACTATCGGAACCCCACCGACCCTAAAGATGGGATTTTTCAATATGCAAAGAACTACCAGGGCGACCTGTTCGAATATTTCACCAGCCACCCGCGTGAAGGGACATCATTCAACCATGCCATGGGTGGGGTGATGGCTCATCAAGCCAGCTGGCTAGACATCATCCCAGGAGAGCACTTTATAGACGGATCGAACCCCGATCTACCGCTGGTTGTGGACGTTGGAGGAAACATCGGCCATGACATTGAGAAGTTCCGCCAGGTGTATCCGGAGACGGCGCACCGACTCTATCTCCAGGACCGGGCCGCAGTGGTTGAGCTCGCCAAATGCCCGGATCCTGTGAACAAAATGGTGCACAATTTCTTCCAGCCGCAACCGATCACAAGTAAGTAAGACTCCATGGAAAGGGGAGCAGAAGAAATCGAACCGAACTGATGGACTGATGACGATACTACAGAGTCCCGCGTCTACTATCTGCACGGCATTCTGCATGACTGGTCGGATGAACCGGCGCAAAAGATTCTGTTGATGCTCCGCGACGCGCTGATGCCCGGGTATAGTAAGCTGCTCGTGCACGACCATGTAGTGCCGGAGAAAGATGCTCATCCGCATGCCACCTCGTACGATTTGACTATGATGGCCATGGTGGCTGGCTTGGAGCGCACCGAGACGCAATGGCGGACTTTGCTATCCTCGGCGGGATATCGGGTCGTCAAGGTCTGGCGGTCGCCTTTAGCTGCACAGGCGGTTATCGAGGCTGAAGTGGCACTTTGAGCGATGTGGCAATTTATATATGTGCTAGAAGCTGTTCCCCCCTGCAATTTTCGAATTGTCGATATTGGTAATAGCAAAGCAGGGGATAATAAGAGTATATTCAATGACTGGAATCTAATATATAGTCCTATGGTTGTATGTGCTCATTGTCTTAATTTCACTACCTAAGTAATCATTCAATTGTTAGGCTATACATATGACTACCAGGGCCGAACAACGGGTCAGGTCTTTTATGTTGCCCTTTCTCATATAGACGTACACACCAAGAACGTTTTCAATGACCCAATTCCTATAATGAATTTGGAAGCCCAAGAGTGACTCTTCTGTAGACAATAATATGTCTGCCTCTTGTGCACTGTCTCGTTCCCTTCAGATATTAGTCGATATGTCGGTCCGCCATCAATAGAGGCACCGGGGCTCTCTCTGTTTTGTAATGCTCAAGGCACAAAGAAGGTCACAGATACCAGTAACTAGTGGCAACAGGTTTTTCTCTGATGCCTTGACATACAGAAGGTCACGAACTCGAAGAAGAATAGACCTGGTGGCACCCAGCGGCATACCACCATAGAAAGTGGAGGCCGAGGTCACGCTTCCCAACATGGGGGTCCCAGACCCCAAAATTATCCATCTTTGTATTACAGGGGAGTCTGGTCCGTCAATTTGGAAATTGCCTCCCGACCCTAGACCACTAGAGAGGTTGCTCGAAGAGGGCATTTGGGCCATAGTCCCATATATAAATAGACACAGACTAGCTTGGTAAGCTCCGACCGCAAAGAACTCTGTGAAGCTCTGGGCATTGAGATGGTGTAGATACCGAATAAATTGGCTTGCATGCCATACTGCCTTCCGTGCCTGACTGCTTTGGCACCATCGTTCCAAGAGTGGCAATACAGCTTCGGCTTCTTCGGGTCCTTCGCGGCCAGCAATTATTTCGATTTGCTCAAAGGGTGTCAGAGAATGCATGGAGATCAATTCGGCTGTTAATTGGCTGCTGTGATGATCACCTGGCTGGCTGTCGTCGTGGAGTATGCGGATGCTGTTCAGGAGCTGAGCTACCCGGTTTTGGAAGCTCTCATCTGCAAGGAGGAAGTCTCCAGGTGTATCCAAGATTCCTGGAAGCAGAAGTCCTTTCGACTGGAGGTGATCTTTGACCATGGAGCCGACGGCATGAAGGACGATCGAGCGTGCTAAATTGGAATCGTAAAGTGGTGAAATGGTCTGCAGGAGAGACGGGTTGGCGAGATACTCCCGAAGGCCCGCCTGTTGAAATGTCTTCTCGAAACTCTGCATCTGGATATATGTTCTGAGCCATTGTGCTGCGGTCTTCGCTGCCCAAAGCTTCCCGCTTTGGGGAAATGAAAGACAGAGCTCGGCGTAGGAGACAGGAGTTCTACTCCCAGTTACCAAGGACTCTTGCGAGCAATGAATATGCATGTGGAACACCAATCTAGCCGGTACATCCACACTTTAGTCTGACTGGACACTATGACATGATAATGGGAACTCACCTTTTCCAGGATTCCTGCTCAACCCAATGATGCCATTTGCTCTCGAGTACATCGTCAGTGTCTGCCGGATCTGGGATCACACTAGTATAGGTCGAAGCACGGTAGCGACGGCCACTTCGGAGCATCTCCATGCGCGTTAGAAGGCATACAGTTGAATACTGGGGCTCATAGGCTCACGGTGACAGCCGATCCTACAATAGCTGCGGCAATTTCCATCCTGCGTTTATTGCCACTCCATAGCCCTGTCTGGACATACAGAGCAAGCGCCTGGATTTGCTGCAAGCAGCGGGTTTGTGCTATTCGTTTCTCGAACTATCGCCCTTGGTTATTTCCCCTATGCATGTGAAGCTGGAAAGCTGCCAGTCTTACAATCTGGAATAAATATGGATGGAGGACACCGTGTAGGGCAGTTCCGAACCGGCGAACAGCCGCACTGGACGATCTCATAGCTGCCGACGTGATACAAGCGCCCAGAAGCTCTGTCGGCATCTCACTTGAGCGTAGAGTCGGAATATGAATCCAGCTGTCATCGTCAGTTGTATGAGTCGCATAAAAGCGATGTAGGAGTCGATCAAGCACATTCGCTGCTGGAAAGGCGGAGACCACTTTGATCATATTCGCTGGCTCACAGGTGTGCAGTATCATGGCCAAGATCCGATCGCGTGTATCGGACGAGACTGTATCGTCAGACATGCGAGCGGAAGGATATGCTAGGTGATTTTCTATACAGCTGGATTCTGGATCGAGAAACAGATTGCCTTCCTCGGCAGCACGGTGATACTCTGGGTCTGGATCCCATCGCCCTACTGTGTTTTCATAGGCCTCTAGCACCTTCGGGGAATTACTCTGGCCTTTGAATGTGTGGGAGAAGGGAACATCAGATGTAATGGATGATAAATCTAAACCTGCCGCTCCGACGATATGGGAAGCCATGCGAAGAATATTAGACGAATTCTGTAGAATCTGTCTGTTCTGTGGTGATCCCTCGACCATAAGTTCTGCTAGATCGTCTATGCCATCAAGGGTGCCCATCGCTAACCCAATGATTAGAGGACATCTCAAAAGACAAGCTGTACTCCCAGAGAGCGAATACTGATCGTACCTGAGTCGGACCCCGCCCTAGGCAAGTCTGGCGTTATATTGGCATCCGGTGCCCGAATGGGCGTCTGATGTGAAACGCCGGAATGTGCGGTATGATCTGCTTGGGGGTAAACAGCATTCCCAGGAACTTGGGTTTCATCTTCTGCTAGAGGCCAGGGTCGAACACAAGACATCTGTCGCTGGTGGCATCGCTGGCAAATCTCGTTATTATCGCATCGAGCTTTGGCAGTTGCACAGGCCTCACAGGCTTGTGAAGCACGCGGGCCCCGACGGCGGGCTCTAGGTGATCTGTTCATTCTAGTCCTGGAGACAGATTCTGAAGAGTGGAACATTAGAGCTAGACAATTGCTGGGGGAGTGGGGTCGGAAGTAGTACTATCACTTATTATCTTTTGAGGATAGTCCGGGGAAAGCTTCAAATTGGGTAAGATTGCGGGGTTCTGCATGGCGGTACGTGGCCTTCACGAAAAACACATTTTAGTGTTGACCACCACGCTAGCGCACGGCTTGATTGCCCAGGAACGATATACCGAATACGTAGTTGCTCGAGTGTATCCGCCGGAGGAGTCATTAACCGTCATCCAAGCACCCATCACACGTTACCTTAGGCCCAGAACAGAGATGTCACAACCAATTGTGATTGGTATTGTCGATTAGTGAACCTCCCTCTCTAATGACATAAATCACTACAGGCGAAGGCCTTGAAACATGTGACAACAATTTTCTCGACAAGTCAAGGAGATGAACCATGCACTCTTGCCCCTCATCGGATATGTGGAGATGGGAGCAACAACTTCCCGGCATTAGACTAGTTGCTGGGCTACTGTACGCTACTGACCTGGCGGCAGGTAGCGTTTCCGTGCATATATTTCCGATAAACGTGCAGCACAAATGAATTTGACTGAATATATATATGTGTGTGTTGCACTTGCTCGTAGATAACTATTTCTTCCATCGCCGCCACCCCCTCACTGGGACTAGACACGTATGTTGCCAATATTTGCATCCGTTCAGGAACTAGTGAATTTATCATCCATCAACATGAGGGTTCCAACGGTTTTCATACAAACTAGGCTGGCGAGACAGTTCCTCCCCCAGTGAGATTAAAAGTCCGTCTTGCCAGCGGCTTGTTTGCGGGAGCATCAGCGTCATATGTGACGGAGAAACCGTTGCTGTTGACATTGCCAAAGGACATGTCTGCGTTGGTAAAGTTCTTTAGCGCAGTATTCCCTGTAAGATTCCAACTGCTTGTCTTATCGAGGTACACGGCCAGCTCCGCTTCTCCATATCCGACATAAGCTCGCCCACTCCAATGTGAATGTCGTTCAAGGGAGAATTCCAGTGTGCTTCCATTGTATGCAACTAGATCGCCTTCCAGAGTACTCTCTTCGACGTAAATGCGACTATCAGCGGTAGCGACTATATCCCCGGAAGTTGCATAGTCAGAATAGAAGTTAAAAGCCTCAGTGATCGTTGAAAAATTAGCCACGGCAAGTATTCCTGACTCGGTGATAATCTGACTGTTGCGGATGTAGCTGTCGGCATAGACCGTTCCGTACCAGAGTCCCGGTGCATCGCCTAGAACCTTCAATCTCGTGTTCTCCAGAGTAAACTGAAATGGATATGCCTGGGTATCCTTGGAGATGCTAAATATGACTGCCCCACCCAAAAGTCCAGCAGTGAGGTCGCAGTCCGTAGCAACGGCATGGCCTTCACCGATAGTGAAGAAGGCGGGCGACTGCTCGGCATACCCGACTACATTGGTTAGGTTCGCATGTTTGACTGCAAAGACAATAGCCGATCCAATTCCGGTAGTATGAGCGATCGAGTCCTCTACATAGAGGTATCCAGCTGGAGTATCCCCGGAAAACGAAGAGCAGCGGTTCCCACCACTAAAATGGTGCACATTTCTCGCCCGGATTGTTCCATTGCCGGCAGCATACAACCCATGCGCTGTTGGCCCCGAACTATACAGCCAGGCGTTATCAATATAGGCCACGGAGTCGGTGCCGTAGGCGTAAACATTTGCCGCACCATTGTGTGTTGTGATGTTCACGTCCGTCAAACGCAGCTGGCTGTTGTTTGCGACGAGCACGGCTGAGTTTACGCCATAAAAGCTGGCCTGGATGAGGTTGCTGGAATAGCCAAATTTCACAACCTCCGTATGGTCGACATACACATTGGCGTGCTCTGTCGCGACCAGGACGCTTGTGTCGTTGCCGCTGACAGCCAGCGTAGTATGGTTAAATCGATTTTCCTGCCCACGCACCATGTAGGGGCCAACTTGGGCAATTCTTTGCACTGTCTCGGTGCTTACGTTGTAATCGGCAAGAATGGCGTTGTCAGATTTCCATTGGAACGCAGGTATAATGTCCCCAGGGTCTCTGATGGTGATTGCGGCCATGGCCGCCCCGATGAAATGGAGAACCGAGTAGGGTTTCATCTTGATGGGGATATGTCTGGATGGATAGAAGTAGGCCTGATGTGGAAACCTTCGCACAAGCGACAGTGTCTTTACTTCGGATGATGATTTATTTAAGTTGTGGCTCAGCTTTGAAATGTGGGTTACATAGTTGATCCACCGTAGCGCTCTCCCGGCATGCCGGTGCTCGTTCGGAGAGACTAAAAAGGTTCTGATCGAGATGATCGGCCCCACTTTAAGTGAGGATCTCAAATCTTTGAGGTCGAGGCCCAAACTAGTTCTCTATACTAATCGTTTCTGACCTGATAATCATCTATATGTAGGCCCCTTTTTCGTGGAACACCCAACACCAAGGCCATTTGTCATCATGCTTAACAAGTGGCCTTTCGTGTTCAAAGGGTGTAATTATCTGAATAGTACATTGGTCTACAACGACATGCACATAAAACGTCCGAATTTCATGCAAAGAATTATCTCGGCCACTATAACGCACACCCAGTCAATGTTTGATTATATGACTAATTCTAGTCTAAAATACAGGTGTAGATTCATGATCTACCTGAAACCCTTCTCCACGAAGGACGCGACTCGACTCTCTCCCACCAAGCCCGCAAGTACTTTCTTGACTCTAGCTCAGCCCACAATCCAATTTCATCCATGAAAGCAGTCCACGGCATATAATAAACATCCACCAGGGAAAATGTCTAGCCGATATTATTAGCGGCTTTACAATGCGCTTATATGGTTATCATCATACCGTTCCTCCCAGATAATCCTGTTTTTCCAAGATGCCTTCGTAGTAATCGAGACACTTCCGTATCTGATCCTTGTAGAGAGACACTAAACTGGCGTCGGGCTCGCCGTGGCCCATCATACTTTTGACTCTGAATTAGAACTAACATATCAATCAAACGGACTCAACCAATCAACCAACCTTTTAAACAGACTCTCATAGGCCAACTGCTTCACCGGTGGATCAAAGTACGAGTACTCAACACTCGCCGCCTGTTGGAACTCGGCGATCTGTACAGAATTAGACGGCGGTATCAGATGTCCGCCGTGTTTGACTGCGAGATAGTGACAGATAGCGCGTGATTCGAAGATCTTAACGTTTGTGTCTTGGTATGCTGGGATGTATCCGAACGGGTTGTGCTCAGATAGATACGAGGGGCTCTTTCAGTAATCAGAATCATTACAGCAAGCTGGTAAGCTGGTTCAAAGCCATACCTTATGCTCACCGGCACGCATGTCAATTGAGATGAGTTCATAGTCGATTCCTAGCTCCTCCAGGACTATGAGAACCCGCTGGGTACAAGTCGAGGATACTGATCCGTAGATCTTGGGAGTTAGAGACATCTTGCACGGGGAAGGCTAATGCTCTGTTTGATAAAAATTGGCCGAGTCAATTGAAAAAAAATCCCGTAATCGATCGTGCGGGAGGATATGCAGTTTTCCTTTCGGCTGCCTGCTCTGCTCGGCTCCAAAATCAACGGCATTCCGGAAGTCGACGGCATGCCGGCCGCGATGCACACCATCTTCTCAGCCATATCGAGCGTCATTGCTCTCTCAGAGTTCCCGTTTCGGCTCCACGGACGTAAAGCAAAATGCGTGTTGATTGAACAACCGAATACAATCCAGCCGGAAATATAAACCCTCGGTCGACGTATTAACACTCATCAAATGAAACTATTGGACAACATTCACGGATTTCGACACATGATTGCACAAACACTGACAATGAATCCTAAGTTCACCCAAACCGATGAAACAGTCCTTCGGGGACCACGAAGAACAGAGTTCGACTTTTCCGATTTTGATCATTCAGGAATTCCCCTAGAAGAGGAAGAATGGCCGGTCGTTATTATTGGATCGAGCATGGTAGGAATGGCACTAGGAATTCTACTGGGATATTGGGGGTATGCCTCCTCCTTTTAATGGAACTGTCTTCTTTCTTCTACTATCTATCTAACTCGCTCAAAGTATAGAATCGGTGGCCTTCGACCGACATCCCTCAACGGCCACGCACCCTCGCGCGGCCCTCTTCCTCCTCCGTACAATGGAAATCTTCCGACAACTTGGACTAGAGGAGGATATGCTTCGCGCCAGCAAATCCAATTTTGATCTGGATGCAGGGATGCTTCTGGTGGAGCGGTTGATTGGCGGGAAGGTCATCGCCAAAATGCAGGAGGCAGATCCGGAACAGACAGCCAAGATCACGCCTTGCAAGCGAGTATGGCTAACGCAGAACATGTTCGAGCCTTTACTCCGGAGAGAAGCCCATAGATTCGGCGCGAAACAAGTTTTCTCGACTAGGGTCGTGCATTACGATGAGCATGACGACAGTGTGATTGTGGTTGTGCAGAACCTCACCACAGGGAAATATTCCAAGTACAAGACTCAGTACTTGGTCGCGTGTGATGGAAATCGTAGCCCGACACGTCGCAAGGAAGGCATCGAGTGGATAGGGCCAGGAACATTCAGCAACAATATCTCTATCAACTTCAGGGCAGATCTAACTCCTTACTTGGGTTCCCGGGCAGTGCATGGAGTGACATATGTGGTCAATAAGGACGTTAGTGGAGGATTTCGTCTGGAAGATGGAGGCAAGCGTGGCTTTTTGATCGTGTCTCGTCTGCATGATAGACACGACTTCGAGCCGGACTCCGTCACAGAGCAGGATGCGAGAGATGCCGTTTTTGCGGCATCCGGAATACAGGAAGATATCTCCCTCGACATCGACTTTGTTTCTTACTGGAGTGTAGCTGCTCTCAATTGCACTCAATACGCGAGCCAAAGGGGGCGTGTGTTTCTTGCCGGAGATGCAGCTCACATTATGCCTCCGACAGGAGGGATGGGTGGGAACACGGGCATACAGGACGCATATAATCTTGCGTGGAAGCTCGCGTATGTGCTCAAAGGGCTGGCCGACGCTTCGCTGTTGAAAACATACACCATAGAGCGCCAACCCGCTGCAGAAAGCACGATGCAGCAGGCATTCTCCCGTCTTGTCAACAGAGTCCTGGAGGACAAAGCTGTTGTGCACGATGAAGAACTCCCAGATGAAGTATGTGAAGTGGGGTATTGCTACCGGACTGGAGCTTTTGACTTCGGCAACGGGAAGGATAAGGGAACTCCTAAGGCGTGGGATAATCCTCACAAACCCAATCCTGTGACTGGCTCACGTCTTCCCCATATCAATCTTATTGATCGTACGAGAAATGACAAAGCTATATCATCCCTTGACCTCGTCCGCGTCCATTTTATCTTGCTAACCGCGGACTCTTCATCACCGTGGCTTCCGGCAGCTGCCGCGCAGGCTGTAACCGTTGATGCGTTTGAACTCTCGCAGACCTCCAACCTAATCGCCGACCCAGACGGTCGCTTCAGAAGGTTATGCAGTATGGATGATGGAGAGGCTATACTGGTTCGACCTGACGGGTTAATCGCTTGGCGCGGCAAGGCATCTTGTGAAGGACACTCGGAGACCCTTGCGGCGGTTTTGAGTAAAATCTTAGGATTACGCAGATAGGAAGGTGTGAAAAAAGCGCATCAGGAGTTACGAATAGCTATATTTGGGAAACATATGATTCCATTACATCAGACTAAATAGTATTCACACCTGCCCACTTGATCATGACGGTCGAAGTTTCCCTCCACCTTGAAGTTCGTAGGTCTCTCCCTTCCAAGCAGCATTTACCAATGAATCCGAGTCATACAGGATATTGAAACCATTACTGAAAACATTTGCGAGCGTACTATTGGAGTTAGCGAAGCTTTGAAGGACTGAGTCCCCCGTCAATGTCCATGTCGATGTGTTGTCCAATGACACGGACAAGTAGGCGGCTCCTAATCCCACCTTTGCCATGCCAGTCCAATGCGAGAAACTCTGAAGATTGAAGCTGATTGACGATTCGTTGTATGCAACAAGTGTTCCCGATAGCGTAGAATCCTTAACATTGATAGTTGCCTGTGCAGGGGATAGGTTGTTGTTTTCTTCATAGCCGGCATAGTAGTCAAAATCCTGAGTCAGAAAGGAGTAGTTTGAAACAGCGAGGATACCCGAAGAGGTATTAATGCTCGCTGCGATGAGATCGACAGTTGCGATGATATTTCCAAACCATAGCCCTGGATTCCCTTCACCGAGGACAGTCAATCGAGTGTTGTCGAGAACAACAGTGGTGCCATTCCTGATAGTCGAGTCAGATATCATGACAATACCACCTAACAGACCAGCTGTTAGATCAGAGTTTTTCCAGATGCCCATAACATCGGATAATGCACCGTCACTGATCATGGCAGGAGATTTGGCAGCGTAACCGACAACATTTGTCATGTTGCACAGACCCTGTAGAAAGCAGATAGCGGAACCAACTCCATCAGTATGGACGACTGCGTTTTCGGCGTGTATATACCCAGCTGGGTAGTCTCCGCTGAAAGCTGAGCACCTAGTTCCCCCGGAATACACCTGGACGTCTTTGGCATAAATGGTGCCATTTCCTGCTGCGTAAAAGCCATGGGAGACAGGGCCGGAACTATAGAGCCATGTGTTGTCGGCATAGGTTACGCTTCCAGTGCCGTATGTGTAGACGTTTGCTGCTCCATTATGCGTAGTAACGTTTACATTGGAGAGTCGCAGTGTCGAATGATTCGCATTGTTGACAGCTGCATTCACTCCTGCAAGAGTTAATCAAGAAAAGTTCAGAAAATCCAAGGGGCGCTGGAGAGCGTTACCATAGAAGCTCGCTTGATTGAGAGCAGAAGAATAGCCGAACTTGGTGATAGTGCTGTGGGTGATAGTGACGTCGGACCGATTCGCTATGACCACAACACTTGTGTCATTTGCTGTAGTTTCTAGTGACCGATGATCAATAGCCCCTGTTTGCTGATTATAGGTATAGGGACCAATGACAGGAATGGTTTGGTAAGCTTCTCCGGTCGTATGTCAGTCGAAAACATATGCGTTATCGTCTGCCCAGCCTTCAGGGGGAACTATATTGCTTGGATCCTCAATGATAATAGATGCCAGGACAAGTGATGCAAAGAGCATCAAATAGAGGATTGATCTGGCCATAGTGAACGGGTTATCTGAGTAACTCCGAAGTGGCATAACACAATTTTTGAAATCTATTCTCATATAAATCGTAGACGGCTACGGTTCTTTACTGTGCCCTCTGCTCCCGGCAGGATTTACCGCTTCGCAGGACATTTCTTAGCATCTGGTGCCGGCGGGGAACTTCCGAAAATATTACGGTCAGTAAATCCGATGTGGTCGACAAGATGGGCCCGATGCTTGGAGGGGGGAGACAGTAAGCCGAGTAAGTCAAAGAACGGAAAGCCGGGCGGCAGGCCGATCGTGCAGCGGTGTGAAACAAGTCCACTTGGACTGTCTCTATCACTTTCCTTCCTTTCTTAGGTGTATTATGAGAACCCAAGATTAATTAGGCATTAGCCGATTTCGATCTAATTTGCGTACTCCTTTGTATCTATTTTATTATATTATATATCTTTTAGATTTTTTTTTCTTTTATTTTTTCTTTCCTAACGTGGTTCGAAAACGCAACATTGGACTTGAGAAGCCGTTGAGAAGAGCAATCCTAAGAGATCATTTATGTATTATGTATGAGGTCAAAACAAAGTAGACCAAAACGATATACCGTCGCCTACAAAGCAGCAGGGATGACTTATGTCTTAACATATGATAGTATCAAGGTTTATATCTGTAAATAACAAAGACTGCCTCTATTTCTTGGGGTGATCAAGACTTTAGTATGTCCCACCAGATGCTCGCTTTAGGTGGATTTGATGACCAACACACGATGTTATGTCTGCAATTTATCAGACTACCAAACACAGTAGACACAGTAAATTTATGATCCGACTACAATCACGCCAACTACTCGCCAACCTCGCGATCAGAGCTCCAGTGACCATATTTGCGCATTATCGACCACTGCCAGGTACTGCGACGAATCTGCTTTCCCCAGAAATAGAAAGGAATGACGAGCAAGATAATGATACCGGATATCGCTGCCATCTCTCCAAAAGCAATCGCGTAGCCATCCTGATCTATCCAGGGGTTTGTGTAGAACGAGAGTAGAAAGCCGAACCCAGCTATTATCATCAGTAATGGTTCTGGCTTACATGGACCTAGATGCTGAGGGGGGGCTTGCTTACCTTTGAATGCCAGGATGGATACGCTGACCTCTCCAACAGCTGGCCTGTAGCAGTCAATGCAGTACACCATGGAGACATTTGTGGCCTGCACTATTGCAAAATTCAGAAGGCCAAGTCCAAGGACTGGCACCATCCAATGGCACTCATTTTGGATGCCAACTCCATATAGAATTAAAGAAACGGGCGCGCAGATACCACCAATGGCAATAGCTGGAAGCCGCATTTCAGGTTCTCGAATTCCGCCATTTCGACGAGTAAACCAATCAGCAGTCCAGTCAGACAGATGGCCACCGCAGACAATGCCGATTAAGGATCCAATAAGGGGCGAAACAAAGCAAAGACCGGATTGCCATGCTTCGAAGCCATAGTAAGTCGAAAATGCCGTGGAATAATTGGAGGTAATTGCAACAAGGAAGCCAACAGTGACGGAAGAGACCAGAGTAGACCAGAGCACTGGCGGAAGAATGATCAAGACGACCGGCCTAAGGAAGACCCCAAATAGCGTCTCTTTGGTGTATATGCCGTGAAATAATTTTATCGAACTGATGTAGCTCTCCTTAAGTGGGGGGTTTCTTCTGTTTATCCCGGCATTCTCCACAACTTCCGCTTCTGCGTAGGTCTTTTCAGCATCGACATTGATTGCGAAAGGATAGACGGCGGCACTCCGGTCGTAAGTCGTCTCTGGAAAAGTAAAAATCACTAAAATCAATACTGCTCCCAGAAGTGCTGTCGCGACATAGTAGATAACCCGCCAGTGATAGTGAATAGTGATAAGACCATCAATGATGATACCACCTGCAACCCCCATGGACAGGGCCGCAGTGTATATCGCCATGACAGTTCCTCGCTCATGAACGAAGAAGATGTCTGCGATAGTAAGTGGCCCAAGGCACTCCCCAGTACCTGCGGTCAGGCCCAGAACGATTCGACCAGTCAGCTCGACAGCGTATGATTGCGCAAAGCCACACCATAACGCCGTCCCAAAATACGCCAGGAATGAGAGGACGTAAATTGGTCGCCGACCATACTTTACGATAAGCGGCATCCAGAATAGCATCCCAACGCCCTGGCAGAGAGCAGCGGAAGTAAAGAAGTAGGAGACTTAAGACACATGACTGGAGAAGTTGGGTCCCATTGGGCCGAGAAAGTCAATAGTCGTTTCCGAGATGGCCACTGAAGGCCCAGCCGCCAGGAAATTGCAAAAGAACACGGCCAAACAAGCAACAACAGCCAGGAAATATCGATGTTTTCTTGACCAGTTTAAGGGGTCGTTGGGATCCGCAGTAGGACTCGGAATGAGAATGACCTCATTCGTCTCATGGTGACGGAGGCGTAAGGTGCCCAGCTTGTGAGTGTGGGTGTCGGTGGTAGCAGAATCCATGGCGACGATATCGAGAAGCTACTCTCTGCAGGGCAATCTGTGAATTAGGCTATTATAATAAGCAATCTACATTGACTAATTGTCATTTTCTCCTCCGGTCGTGGTTAGGGGTGATTGTCCACGTGAAGCCCGTAAACTCGGCCAGCATGTCGTGTAGTACTAACCGGCATTCCGGAGAGAGCCTGGCCCGCACACAGACCGGTAGTCCACCCACCACCCGGGCTCTGGACCGAGTGATGCGAGGAAGCTTTCTTTTAATTGAATTAAGAGTAGATATAACAGAGTAAGCGGGATTGCTATCTCCGATTGGACACATGGGACTGAGCTAGAGTCAAGTACCACGGCGGATTTGTGGGTCAGTCTACTTTGTTTGACCAACCCCGGATCCCGCCAGCGATAGTCCAAATACCTACTCCAGTGGCATTTTAGTATAGATCCTAAGATTGCATGAAAAGGCGAAACTTCATTGGGTCCCTCTGTAAGCACAGATGGAGGTTTTCCTGGGTGTCCGGTGAACGGGTCCAACCTAATCATTTGAGACCGCCCACCAAAAAGACAACACAGGAGGTAAGGGTGGAACAAGGAGTCCTGTAAAAACTGAAGACTAGCTTAGGCTATACAGGCCTATTCTTCGTGTGAACATAGTGAACATGAGGCGTGATGGCGGAAAGCTGTATGTCAGATTCGTCACCGATGGTGCTCGAACATTAAGCCACAGATGAGAGGTTTGAGCTTCGAGAGTGTATTTTCCCCATCGCCGGCGGGGCTCAGTGGGTCATATTTCCCCATACCCCGCATTTTACTGTATCAATGCTAACTTGCTAAGTGCCATTGCAAAGAATATCGGAAATGTGGGGGACCCCCGGTGCCCTGTGCGTTCCAGCTGGAAGCTTTGCTACATCATAGGGCATTCCGGTGAAGATGAACACCTATTGTGGAGTGCATATCGAGCATCTCCAGAGGAATCCACACGAATCCTTATTTTGTTACCTAACGTAGAGACCTCACTTTAGCTGTAATGATCCAAGTGGGGATGCTCCGGTACAATGACGAGCAACATGGGTAATTAACACAAGATATATAGTCGTCGGATCATGAGTTTACCATCTCACGTCTATCAAATGCTTCAGATATCTTTTAATAGTAACTCAAAATGCATTTTCCAGCAGGTCTTCCTGTTACTATCATGACTCTCGCCCTCGCGCTCCCTATGGTTGCTGCGTCCAACGTGACGGACACCAGCAGCTCCCGGAGGCACTTGTCGAGCGTTATCTTTCAGGTCTTAGAGTCTATCAGGCTCCAAGACCCAGATATCCTACCACTAGCCACTATTTACAAAGCAACCGAGAACTCTCATCCTTCTTCACCTGCCATGATGACAGCGTGGCGAACTATCACCGAGGTTGAAGCGCCTGCCATGCTTGCGATCGACACCGTGCAGAATTCAGTGTACTTTATCTCAGCCATCAGTGAAGGAAGTAGATCCAGATCAATTCTCCGCGGTCGAATCCAAGTGGTTGATTGGCTTATTACTGAGCTGGAGCTATTTATCAACCGCTCCCGTGGTGACGACGGCTTCGCTTTCTCAGTCGAGGAGCTCTATGCCAACTATCAGACACTCATGTCACTACCAGCCGGACAGAAAAAAAGCAAATCGAGAAACATTAGAGGCTCTGGGAAAGGCGCTGTGGAACCCATCCGACAATTTCACGGCTACTGTGAGTGACAACTGTCAGTTCACCGAAGTAGGATGGAAGGTTTTCGATACTGGGACCTATGGGAACGGCTCCACCAACCCGCTTGGGTGTAGTTGGGACTCAACAAGGCCATATGATCCAGATGCAAGAGCCAATCTTGTTATCGATGAGGAGTTAGGATTCGTCGTTTCTAGCGGCATGGTCCAGGGCAAAGTCTATCCGTACTACGGTAATATTTCTACCTTTATCCCTGATTCCATGCACACGCAGCAGGACGCCCAGGAGGTCTGGATAAATACAGTAAAGGGACAAAGGAACGTATCCCTGTTGTCCCCTACTGAAGCTACCGGTGAAAACATGGAGGTTGTTCAGTACTACAACGATGAGCTTCAGGCCCTTCAGTTGAATGTCTTTCTTACCGGTCCGAATATGACGTCCGCTTGGTTATGAGGTAGCTTCGTCATATGTAGCACTTATCGTTGTGCCCTTATGAATCGGAGACTATCTCAACTCTTCGGGTCCGTCTTTATCTTCCAGCTTGAACAATTCTACTTCCTTCCTGTCAAAGATGGCAATAAATTGGATCTATTATGTTCAACTTTCCCTTATTCGAATTACTTATGCCAATAAAATTATCCTCCCATGTACGGGATTCTCTCCTATTTGCGCTGTTAGTATGGATGTAGAGCAGTATCAATATACTATTCCGCGGGCGGGGAACTCGTTATCTCATTTACGGTATATTGAACAAATCACCAATATCATTATAGCGTTGTGATCTTAATTGGAACAGAAAAAAGGATACAGAAATTCCTGCTATGTATAGGACTGACGGAATCCCTTGGTAATAAATACCTAGAGGGCGCAAAAGTGAAGAAATGACATACTACATTGTCTCAGTGAAAAGAGGACTCATAGATGGCTTGAACATCAAGACCCCCGAACACTCAGCTGACAATTGAAATGAACATCATGCCCAACTAGTTCCATTCCGCGGACCAGTGAGGTAAACCAAGAATTGCTCACCCTGAAGCTGATCATTGTAATACTGGAAAACATCGAAACTGGTCGCCAGGGTCGCCATCGGTTCGACCAAATATATATACCCTCAGAACTTTGAATAGAATACCACGTATCCTGCGTCTCCTGCGAAGATTTCATCGAATCCGGGATAAATGCGGAGAAGGTCGCGTAGGGGTAAACCTTACCCGGAACCACGCCTGCCGTGACGACAATCCCCAGTTCCTCATCGATGACCAGAGTCCGGGCATTCAAATCAGTAGGTCGGTCTGACATCCAGTTACATGCAGCATTCTTTACCACCCAGCCCATCTCAGTGAACTGGCAGTCTGAGGCCATATCTACCGTAAAGTTGTCATTTGCGTTAAAGCTCGAGGCAGCAATGCGCGCCAGCTGATCGCGGGTTGCTTTCGTTCGATTTGTGGGCGGGCTCTGCCAGCGCTTGAAGTTCTGGGCCAGATTCTCGACATCGAAGGCGAATCCGTCCTCGCCTTTACCGCGATTGACGAATAGCTCAAACTCGCTGATTAATTGCGAGGATACTTTGATGCGCCCCCAGAGGATATTTTGAATTGTGGCGTTTCCTTCAGTAATAGGTACGGTGAAGTATGCCTGACCTTGTGAGATGTCGATGGCCAGTAGGCTCGGTGAGCTGGCTTTCGTGACAGTCCGCCAGAGAGTCATCATGTTGAGGGCTGCCGGGTGCGCATTCTCGGTTGCCTTGTAAACTTCTGCCAATGGAAGTCTGAATGGGTCGTGCGCCACCATTGAATTCAGGACTTCCGTGATCATCGTTTCCAGACATTCACGGTTGCATGATGTGTTGCTCGATGGGCTTCTCTCGACCAATGTCATAACCGGGTTTGCAATTACCCCGACCACGAGCGTAAGGCATGCCAGTGCTTTGGAAACCATGTTGTCTGTAACCAGGCAATGAAAACCGACGAAAAACGGGAGGACAATCTGAAAGACCGCCGACTAAATACCTCATGTTGTCACTTCATGGCAAACCGTTACTTCCGTCGGGGGAAGAAACAGAGGACCCTAATCAGGGCTATGTTGGCGGCGGCTTTCCGCCCCGTCCCGGCTTCCGAGGTGGAGGAGGCGAAAGGCTTTGTAAATATGCAGTCCGTAGGAGCATGAGAAATACCTAGTTTGCCATCTGGACACAAGGATAGTGATGAAGCCAAGCTATTGAGCTGGAACTTCCTTAGTTGCTTTAGGAAACCCTAGATGGGCTAACCTGCCCTACCGAGGGTAAGAAACACATGTGCTTCCAGCTAGATTATGATTCCGCAAGAAACATGATATAGGCTTCGTGACTATTATTGGAGTCTGTGATATGTGCCTTTTTTCCTCTTCTGTTCTTCAATATATCGGCTAGTATAAAATAATCTACCTCGGTTTCTGCAGTAAGTATACCCTTGTCTATCATGCTTTACTTACCCAGATACAAATATCAAATATTTTCATGAACAAATTACTAAATATTACGGTTCAGATTATTATAACACCTGCACTGTCTGTACACAGAATCAAAGAACTTTAATATTTATAACAATAAATCTTTCATCAATCAATCTTTTTTCCATTGGCTATGAAATTCCTGTCAACAGTGAGCCCTGCTTCTGGGCATAAAACAAGCTCTCAAAAATTAGGAAACCTAGACAAGCAGGTATATTATAATCATTGAATCATATATTATAACAATTATAATAATTATAATAAGATTTGACAGTAATTGCGTATTTTAATGAGAAGGTCTCTTTCCAAATCTAGGATTTTGGATATACTGAGTTACTATTGAAAATCACAGGTAATAAAGATGAATCAAAAGACAAGATATCGTAATCTAATATGTTGGATAATCTAGAAATTTATTACTCCAATGTTTAATCATATTAATTATAATTACTTTGTAATGTTTACCTTTAAATACAGAGTATGTGGACCTGGATTATATACTTAATATAAATATTACTTTTGATATTACTCTTAGTAAGATAGCATGCTTAATGACTCGGTTAATAATTAAGAAGCTAGGGGGGAAGGGATGTGGTGGTGCCTTATTTGTCTGTGCTAAAGGGTTGAAGCATCGATGGCGCGGCTGAGATATTTCGGCTTACTAGGCCGCCAGATTATTTACCTTAACCAGTTATCGGATAATTATGCATAAAATCTGACATATAGCTCTAATGGCTGCGGAATGTCTTCAGCCGTTGCTGAAGCTATACTGTGTGGTCAGCCTCTATGATCCACTGGGGGGCATCTGCTACTATATAAGCACAGAACTTCCTTGAAGGCTGTACACCCATTGCATTCTGCAGCATCCGCAATTGAACAGTACATGCTAGCACGATTATATTTGGAAATCATATAGCGAATGGGCTGTTGGGGGAGAGGAAACAAGTCTGAAGAGTTGAGGAAAGCAGCTTGCGCAGGGATCTGCTTTTTGTAATGACGCTGTAACTGGTCGTTCCTTAGGATCTAATAAAACATCGGCAGTATGTAGTGATAACCCCGTCCGTCGGCTTTAACTGAGGCGGGTTTTGATACTTTAATTATCAGGTCTACAGCGACATTGAGCGACTGGCAGTAATGCAATGCACTCATCAGTTTCTTGCACGTAGTTCGTGCATGGCGTGTGATAACTCCTGTTCAATTTGCAGTGTCTTAGCGTCACGGCCATGTATATTGATTCCATCGCCACCTCCTAAGACCTGACACACAAACTTGCCTCTACACGCAGCATACAACGCCAATCATGCCATCCCATAGCATTAATGGTAGAGCTTCGGCTATGTCTCTCCTTGTCGATCCTATCATTCTAAAGTACCGCTCGTAGAAGCCAAAGGCAAGCGTGGCTTGGCATAAAGTGTAGGTTAGTCCCGCTTAGGCATGGTGGCAACTCTCACCACCGGGCACACGCGCCAGGCACCAGGCACCAATCTCCAACTGACTACAAATCATATAAGACGTGCTATCCTTTCCTCTGTCTCACAACACTATATCATACGCGCACAGCGATCAAAATGGGTGGCTGGGCGATTTTTTGCGCTATCTGCGGAGGTCCATTTTCCAGCCAGGTCGACATGGACTGCGAAGGAACCGACGAGACGGCGTATCGTTTCGACATCCTCGAGCACTGCAACCTCGAGTGGCTCGACAAACTACGTGCCCTAGGAATGAATTCCAATGCTACTGGAAGTGACAAGTTCGTAGTGACTCGCCGTTAACGTCTTACAAAACTAAGTGGCCTGGTTCTCTAGGTCGTTTCTGACGGGACCTGGCCGCTACTTTGACTATGTAAGCTAATCGATCCCTTTGACAGTTTTCAAGCCGGCAGTATAGTTTGCTGAAGCTGGAGGTCCTGCTAGGGGGGGATTGAGGTCGTTGCTGGGAATCGTACGTTGCTCTGAATACGTGGCCCTCCGTGACACTAGAATTACCCGTCAATGGTAACATCGTTTTGCCAGATATAAACATCCCATACCCGAAGAACGAGGTTGTGCCCATGGTTGCGTATGCATTGCGTCTCCTCTTCCAGTTTACCCGCTAACCCTCTCATAGATATCACGACTTTGCCGAAATAGGCGAACCACATGTGTTTCCGTTTCACTCCGTTTGCTACGAGGTTCTGAAGAGATGCATCTCCCTGAGACAGCCAGATGGAATTCAGGAAAATAAGCTATATCGGGTTTTCGAACAGGCCAACGGTGGCCGGTACGTCCGGTTGCAACTTGACTATGGCGAACCAGACCCTCCCGTAGAGCAGGTGTGGGAGACTCTCCGAGGGCAGGAGGTAAGTAATATGCTGAGAGCAAACAATGCGGGTTAGAAGTTTAATATACCCAGATTCTGGTAGTAAACCCAGTTGACATACCGGAGCTTGAATCAGAGATCAACAACATCAAGTGCTTGTTAGACACGAAGACCTACCTTAATAATGAGACGAAGCTCCACAAAGACGATATTTTCAGTCGTCTTTCGAATGAACTGCGACACGAGATCTTCAAGCACCCTCGCCCAGAATCGATTTTGGCTCTCAAGGCTGCCTCGCGAATCATGCACACTACCTGGGTTCCGCGCTCCATGTGGGAAGCCAAGTTAGTCGATACATATCCATGGCTGTGGGAGGTGCTTGAACTCCCGGTTTTCCAATCGCAGGAGATCGAAGAGAAAACGTCTAGGCTGCTTTTTGCTTGCAGGGAGGAGGGTGAGTCTACGGGCAGAAGCTATGGCTATATCTTGGGTCTTGCCAACAGGAGAAGGATTTGGGGAGTATGCGAACAGATTCGGAGTAAATATTTGGAGTAGCGGACCACTTTTACGAGGCAAATACTGTGGCGGCTGCTGTTACATCCGCGTGGGGAGACATTGAAGTGATCCTTCAAACTCTTATCACATCATACTCTGGACTTGATATGACG